GTCGCTTTAGAGGTTAAAGAACTGAATCCCTACCTGCTCTTTAACTAGATCAACTCTTTCTCACTATGAGGGTCTTAAGAAGAAAAGAATGTAGTAAGAAAATAAAACTCATTCATTTAAAACTTAAAGAGGTTCATAAAACATAAATATAATCTAATACATGTGCCTAATCAATTAACCCTTGGATTGCTTTAAGAGGACTCTTCCTCAAAAGTTCTTGGACATGTCTCTCTTAGTTAAGTTTTGGACTTTCTCCTCTTCTCCTCTAGGTGGCTTCCTCTCCCAAGCAAACAATGATCTTCTTGCTCTTTAAATGAAAATTTATTCTTCTCTTTGTCATGCTCATTCTCAGTCCTTGGATCATAGAGGAGAGTGAAAAACCTTCTGATGACATTTCTCTCTCCAAGGGTAGCCCAAGGGAGGTGGGCGGCTCCTAGGGTGTCTTCTCACCTTCTCTCACCTTAGGACTTATCTCAGCCCTTGGATTGTGCTGATTGAGGGGTTGAGATAGTCCCAATGGTTACCTAAGGAGGGAGAGGGGCATGGCCAATGGGAAGAGGCCACCTACCCCCTTTGACTCCAAAGGAGGAAGGTGGGTGGTTTCCCCGTTTAGAGGAGGCAGTTTCCCCTTTCCTTTGGTGGTGGGTTTCCTCTCTTAAGGCCCATGGGCCTTCCTTGTGTTGGTCTTCTAATAGGCCCATGGGACTGTTAAAATAATTTATATTAGTCCTTTTAATTAAATAGAGAAGATAACTACATAGGGAAGTCATCTCTCTTTAGATTATAAATGAATTATACATGAGGAACTGTAGGACTTGGGAAATAAATGATAGATCATGCAAAATATATGGATTATGCATAATTGATCATGATTTAAGGTAATTCAATTAAACTTTATAATAATATTGGATGGTATTTTTTTCAAAAAAAATCTAATGATACAATGCACATGCATCAATTTCGCTTCTTATGCTTTAACATCAATCATTTATATGTCATTCATAATCCATGAATTAACCTTAATAGCATGCTAATTATTGTCATTAATCATGTAAAACATGTATAATAACTCATATTAATAACCAGAATTAGCATGTTATCAATTATCCACCCATGACATTTCTCTAGGGCAGCACTTCATACCCCTATTGGGTTCCCCATATTCATTCATGTGTGAGGCCCCAACACCTATTTATGAGTTAATCATTGCCAGATAGGCATCAGTGCAAGAGCTTGACACGTGGCAGCTGATGTGGGACCCTTGTTTCCATGGAGACAGCTCATGCTGGGTGGTGTGCCATTGATGGAGAAGTTAGTAGGCTGCAAGAATAAAGCCCAGAAATGCCAGATCAAAATATGGTATTTCATGGGCCGATTTTCTTAGTTCGTTCATCAGAACAAAGCCCAGAAAAGGCTGATTTTTACGGGATAGAAGCGAAATAAAAAAAATAATTGTCCCAAGGAAGATGGTTAAAGCAATTACCATGGTTAAAATATAACTAGGGTGCGTCTAAATGAAATTATGTATTATCTCAATTAGTGAAGTAAATAGTCATGAAAAATATTAATTTGGAAGCTTTTCAAATGGAAAAAATGTTGTCTGCGGGCTTGGACTCGACTGTTATGGAATGTATTTATTTACTGTTTGGCCTTGTTAATGCTTACCATGGGGGCCTACTCATAAGGGGTCTAATGTAATTAAAATTTTAACAAGGGCCGAAGTTGTAATATAGATATGTATATATATATACATACATATATATACGTATATATATACATACATATGAACAATGCTGTTCTTAACCAGCTTTAGACTGTTTTCTAGTCCCGCTCTCTCTCTGTCTCTCTCTCTCTTTCTCGCTGAGGCTTCCTGGACGGAGAACCGGGAAGTTGATTCCCAGAAGCTTGAGAAGGGGGCAGGATACAGAGAAGATCCGTTAGCAGCATTGAGCGTCGTCATCCTGCTGGAGAGCTTGCGGGAGATCGTCTCCCGCTTCCAGTTTGTTTCTGAACCCTAGGTGAAGTACAGGCAGTTGCTCCACTTTAGGGGGAGGCTGCGACCGGTTGCTTTCCAAAGTCTGCACACGTGCACTTACCGATCCGGGATAGCTGGCCGATGTACTCTTCGAAGCAGACTACAGTTCCACCCTCACCGAGGCCCCTGCCGCGCTTTTCGTCCTAGGGTTTTCAAGTGCCATTTCGGACTACTTTCGTTCTGCTAGGACTTTGGGTGAGCCTCACGCCTTCCTGGAACATCGGCTTCTTGATCCTGTTAAAGCTGATGGGGGAGAAGGTGCTGCAGACTGATGCCCACGGCGGCGACTCTGCTTCGGGTGTGATGAAGCCCTCCCACCAGCATATACCCGTTCTCACGACAACGGTCAGCGACTTCACCCTCACACCCTAGTACTCACCGGATGCTCCACAACATCAGGACGCACCAACTGCACGAAAGCCACTTCTCCCACGACGCAGCCGGGGGGACTTCATCAGGGTGCTGGCTCAGAGCAGGAAGAATCGAATCATGATAGGGGAGGTGAGAAAATGTCCGGCAGCAATTCTATGATCGGTGAGGTGCCGGACAGGGAAGCTCCAATTGATCGTCTGGATGATATTGCTTCAAGTTTCGGTGCCTATGGTTGTTGAGCGAGGAGGATGAGGGAGAGATTGGTGGGGGCCTTTCGTCCCGTGGAATTGGAGGTGGAGGACGTATCTTATCAACATGAAGGCCACGCTGCTATCAGAGGGAATGACCATGAGGAGACTCATTTCAACGTGAGGATTGTTTTAGAGGAATTCGAAGGAAAGAGCCTGGTGAAGAAGCGCAGGCTTGTTTATGATCTGTTGCAGGAGTTGCAGAGCGGATTTCACTCCCTCTCCATTGTTGCAAAAGCTCCTGAGTCCGGTTTCAAGTAGGCGATCTTCGCAACTAGAAGATATCTTGTCCCCCATCTGAATCTGGTATGATTCTCTCTTCATCTGGAACCATGAAATTACTCTAATTGATGGAAGTAAAATCATCTTCTTCATGTCATTTCTACCGTTAGAATAGAAGAAACATTTTTTTTTACAGTGAAATAATTGCGCGGTAACACTTGACTGACGAATTCAGTGCACGGCAGTCAATCTAGAAAGACCTTGGATGCCCTTCCATATAACTAGCTATGAATGTAAAAGAATGTAAAACATTTATTCCTTTGTTGAGCAACTCAAATTCCTAAATGGACTCTCAATCTTTTCCATTTAAAGCTCATACCCTATTTGAACACCAAACACTCTGTTTATCCATCATTTCATGTCCCCTTGATCTCATTACTTTTTATTTTTTGTTGGAATTTTTTTAACACCTGCAGTTGATAGCAAATAATAAACTCTTATTAAAAGAGAAGCTCTAGTGCAAACTTGAATGAAAAAAGAGGGAAGAAGGAGATTTGAAGTTTGAAAGGTTCAAAGGTTGTTACCCATTGTTTCAAAAAATGACAAGTTTATGAACAAGCCTCTTGAACATTTGGGTTTAGTAAAATCAGGAAACTATTGAAAGATGAAGGCTTTCTTAAGGGAGGAGGCATCTACATCAAAATGTTGCTGAATTTTACATAGAGATTCAAGTCATCCTCTTATGCTATTCCTAATGCAAGCATCTTCTCCAACTGATTTCGACAAGGCAATCAACACCATCTTCTTTGCTCTAGCTCTCCATCAGGCTCTAAGCTATTTGGGTGGTGAAGGGAGAGTATTTTGGACGTAAGGAGGTGCTGGTAACTTGTTTTGGCCCAAAAAAGGTTGAGCCTTTGTGGAGACTAAATGTATTTAGGTAGCAGATCATGTAAAAATCAATGCGCAGTTTTTGAGGGAATTAATGAATATTGGAGGGAAATTTCTTTTGGGATTAGATGTAGCTAGGTTATGGGTGAAATATTATAAAAACTCTAGTGTTCTTGGTGAGAGAGCATTGAGAGCATACTTTTGTTGACATATCTAATATTGAGAGTATATGTGTGTTGACACATCTAACGACACCTACACATAGGTAAAGGTTAGATAAAAAAATCATTAGATATTCTAGAAACCCCAATTTTTCTCTCTCTTGGTGTTTCGACAAGTCCTTAGGTTCAAAAAAATACATTACCTTATAAGTACATATAAGGGACAACTACAATGACCATAGGGTTAATTGTTTGTGAGTCTCTAAATATGAGTATAAGATTTCATTCTTGTCTATACCTTATTATTGGTGAAATCCATTGATACTGAAAAAACCTTTCATGTATCACATTATCCATTTGTATAGAATTTGATGTGTAAAGCCTGATTACATCCAAGTACATTAATGTTAGAGAAGCTAGGAGCACAAGTCCATAGATCATGAATTCTGAAGGATTAGAATGGCCTCAAGCAAGGGAGATCAAGTCCACTAAGAACCCCATTGTTATGATTTTTTTTTAATATTTAATATCAATTGAATCTTTAAAAGGTAAGAGTTCAAATTTTTTTGGTTCTCAACTAATGAATTCATGTGAAACTTGATGCAAAATGATGCCCCATGTGAAACTAAATAATATGATACAAAATAAAATATTCATTGCTCTAGAATTAAAACTTATGGTGCTTTCATTCATAGACTCTCTCAAAGAACCTTTTTGTTCATATTGAATCATTTTCCATAGACTCATTCTCTGATTATTACATAAATTCTAAATTTAAGTTTTCAAAATACATAGTTTGTTTTATACAAGACTGCTGAGCTAGGATTATATATGATCAAATGATTCTCTAGTCATGAGTTGTACTCCTTAGGATGTCTTACTTTCCTTTTGTAAGGAAAATTTAGATACTACTTGTTGGAATGTGTATGGCAAGTTCAAATATTAAGATAAGGGGTGAATTATAATTTTTAGAAGTTATGTGGATTTGCTGGTCTTGTGTCATTTCATACATAGGCTGATGTGTCAACACAAGTAATCTGTGTAAACTTAAGGGGTGCATGTATCAACATGCATGAAAGACTTTATAGTGATAAGACCTCTTTATACTCTCTCAAAAGAACACATTTTTTATATTACTTTGCCTCTCACTTAATTACTTCTAGTCATAAAGGAATCTATCCTTTGGATTTCAGTATTTCCCTTATAAATACACACTGAACTTAATAGCATCATCAGCCCAAGTCTCAAGTTCATCTAGACATGGATCTTTCAACACAACAATCCCTCTCAGGTCAAATTAGGCAATAGGTATTGTCTTCACCAAAACTACTCTCCTCTCACTATGCAATTTCACTAGGCAAATTTGCATTATTGTTTGATTGCTAGATATATTTGATGAAGATGATGTCACAGTTCATTCACGGTTGACGGGTGTGGTGTAAAGATTTTGATGGAGAGCCTTGAATCTCTAAGCTATATAACACTTTTAGCATAGATGTTTTATCTTATTAGTCTTCTCCTATAAGTCTTGTCTTATAAGTATTCTCCACTAGTTAAATTGAGCACTTAATTTCTTACCATTTATTAGAATACACTATGTCCATAGGTTGACCTTCAATCTTTGACTTTGTTCATTCTTACATTCATTTTAATTCAAATTTGAATAAATTAATGGGGAACTAGTTAAAATCCATGTTGGCTCTTGACCATTTGAGTTCATTTCACTTTTTGCCCATGTAATTGTTTGACGTGTCACTAAGATGTGAACTTTTTGAACCTAAATCTTCAATCCATTATTTATTTCTTTCCTTGATTTGATACTTGTAATCACTTAGAGAACCTGCCTAAAACCATGTGGAGATAATATGGAATTGATAAATAATATAACACAATAGCTAGACCATCAGATATAGAATCTGGATGAAATATTACATTCTTTCTGTATGTGTCGACCCATGGATCATGTACTATAACATTTTTAGACACACACCATAAGAGCCTAAATGACAAATACATAGCCTTTTGTATGTAGATCTTTGTTCAATTAGTAATTACTTATTTTGAAATATTGTTATGATAAAATATTATCTTGAAACTGAAAATTATGGATTTAAATGTTAGAATAAAAATCATAATAATCGGGTTAATCATTTATTGAGAGTTGTTATGCATGACCAATTTATTTGCTAAAAAACTATATTCAAAAGTGTTTACATGTTAAAGATGATGAAACGTACATCAATTAAATTACATCTTGATGAATTTAGTTTCATTGTATCAAATTTAGAAAATATTATTGGAGAGTTGAAGAAAAAGACAATGCCTTATTATTGTTTTGTTCTTTAAAACTATAATATCAATACTTTCAGGAGATTTTTTTTCTATAGTAGTAATTCTATTTAGCAAGAAGATGTGAGATCTTCTTTGATTTTGAAAGAATTAATGCATAACATATGATTGTTGGTAGTTTAAAAAAACAGAAATTCGAGTGTCTTTTTTCTTGAGGTCAACTCAAGGAGTTAAACAAGATTTGGATGAAATAGAGTAGAGTTTAAGTTCAAAACCAGGAATAAATATTAAAGCTATTTCACAAGAGGTCACTTTAAAGACTTATTTTTCAAGATTGAAACAAAGCATAAAAATGAAGAAAACACAATGTTAGATTGAGCTAAAGTTGAGTAAACTTTTTTGGCTGAAATTTGATGTAGAATGATGCCTCATGTGAAACTTCATCTTAGTATAGTGATGTGACTTAGTTGTTGTATAATAAATCACAAAAAAATAAGATTTATAAAACCAAAATAATAATAATTTTTAGATATTTAAAATTATTTTGAAACAAATATATCAATTATAATTTGAGAAAAAAAATTAAAAATACTATTTTTTTCTTAGTCGATCATTTGGATGTAACATGATATCATGTAATATTTTAAATTTTTTCTCAAATAAGATTTCTTTTATAAAATTTAGATTAAAAAATAAAAATAAAGTATATTTAAATTTATAAGAAAGAAAAATAAAGGTACGGATGTCAAGATAACATGAATGCCCAACAAACATGAATTGAGAAAAAATAGAATTTTGCTCGATGATTCTTACGTAAATGATTATAGACAATTTAATTGATCAAATTAAGATCTATAAAAGCAAGAAGAATCGTAACTAAATGAAGAATAGTTTAGAAACTTGACATTACACAAAGTATCACTAAATGAAGTAAAAATTAAATTGAAAGTAAGAAAGTTAAAGTTCTAGTCTCACGACACTAATTGTTAGAATTCTATGTATTCGGGAGGATCATCGAATGATGTTCATTGCGTCAAAGGCTTTCTTTGGATATGGACGACTTAGACATTCGTTAGATCTCATTTTGAAGTCCAAAAAATGATGGTGAAACTTAAGCTCGTTAAAAAATGATAAATAGAGTTTCAACATCGCAACAACGATGTGTTGACGATGTGTTAGAATCTTAAGTATTCTTGAACAAGGCTCTCCTTGAATAATTTCATGGCCTCAAAGGCTCTCCTTGAACAAGGATGACATGGGCTATCTCTAGATCTTCTTGTAAAGTCAAAAAATTAATGAACTAAATTGTCAAATCATTTCTAATGGTTGTCACCCGACAGAGTAGAAAAATACTAACTTTGCGACTCTCTAATAGGACATGTGTTAGGAAGCTTCATCCTTAGGTACATCTAGTAAGAGGAAGGTCTTTATCGTATCTCGTATGCTCTTAGGAGGTGGTGACTCATCTCTCAGGGGATGGTTCTCTTCTCAATGATAGCTTATTTGTCGATCAATCGAAGATGATTTACTTGATAGATTTACAATTCTTTTATTGCAAATCATTCAATAATTTAGTAACGATGCTCTATGAATCACGTTGATGAGATGTTTACCAATGATTGAGTGATTCAGGCGGTTTAATCTTTCATCGAGAATCTATAAAAAAATTACAATTTAATCAAATTAAAAATATAAATTTTCGTCTAATAGGATTCAAACTTTTGCCGGTCACCCGCCTACATGAGAAAGAGTGAAATAAGTATGTAAATACTCTTATAAAGTGACATTATTCGAGTACTTCCTTTTGATAAATAAGAGATATTTGTGGTACAAAAATTATTAAAACATTATGGGGATGGTATGACCACTCATTTAGTCTCACATCATTATACGCTGAATTTTGAGATGAATATATAGTAATATAAGATTTAGGAATCAATGAGTTCCTTTCTCACATGTGTACAATCACTCCTTGTCCCATGCTCAGCTAGCCACTAATGACATAGAAGGGGAGTGACACACACATGTCCTCTATTAGTCCATCCTTAGCTGCTCAAGCCCTTGCTCGCAATTTTGCTTGACTATACTTCCAACCTACTTGTAGGTTTCATTAGCTAGCTAGTTCTCTCCTTTTTCTATCTTTTTATTTTATTTTATTTTTCTTTATTTATCTCAAAAATAAGATTGTAAAAATTATATCAACTCGTTTAAAATCACATAATTAGCTAAAAATTCACGTTAATCAACTAAAACCTACTTTTCATAATTTAACATAATTATAAGTCTATTTATCTTGAATTAAGGTAAATCTATATTATTAATTAATTATTAATTCATGATAATGAAAAATTATCATATATCAATGTAAAATAGAATGATCATAATGATGTGAACACTTTGAGATTATTCTCAAAATATATTAACAAAAAAAATTACATCAATGTAGAACTCATAAAAGACAACATTATTCAATTCAACAAAAGTAGCTATTTGATGCTACTAGGAGTAACATAATGTGGTGTACTAATTGTTAAATAATATAAAAAGTTGGGTAAGTTTTTAAGAAAGAAAGGATACTAGAAGAAAGACCAAACGTCAGCATTTAAGCAAGCACAAAAAAGGATAAGTTGACATGAAAAGGAGAATAGCTTTAAAAATAATTATGCACACTAATAATCAAAGGAATGTACTTCTAAGTTGGATCTCTAGCAACAAATGGCTAGTACATACCAATACACCAACATTGAAAGAAAGCTGTAGAGTCAAAAGGTAAGGTTCAATTTAGTTTCATTTTAGTAATTGATAAATAGTGCTGATGGATAGTTTAGTGTTTCTAGAGCTGTAAATAAAGAACCACTAGTGACCACTAGGTTACATGCTTGATTACCTAGAGTTGTGAACTTAGAACTGAATGCTGAAAGCATTTAGGCTGGGAAAGCCCAAGCCTAGTGGAACAAGTTGATGAATTGTAATTAATTGTTGTATTATTTATAGATAGTGGGACCAAGAGAAGGCTGAGTGTCAACCACATATAATGTGTCTCTCTTATTTAATTACTTCAATAATTAATAGTAAGGAAGTTAACTTAATTATGTTATTACTTATTGATCACATTAGATTTATTTGTATATTAAATAAACCAAACCCTTTCATTGTTCATACATTGCCCCATCAAGAAAAAAAGTTATCTTATGGTTAGTGCTAATATGTTGCAGTTGGAATGAATGTATGTGATCATGAAGGCATAACATCAATATTGTTATGCAGACTTCTTTTTAAAACATAAACCTGGAAGCTAAGATAGGATGGTGCTTAAGCTTGAGTTGGCTATTATTTTGAATAGGATATGTACATTGAGTGAATATTGAAACAATGCAATATGATGACTAAAAACATGTGAGAAAATATAATAATGAGGTCAAGCCCAAGCATTGCCAATTTTCACCATTAGAAAGGATGATATATATATGTATCTAATAAATGTGTTAAATAGGGTATAGTTTATGCTCAAAATATGGGCTTGTAAATTTGGCTACGGAGATGTTGGCCCTGCAAAGTTTAAATTCGTTCAGATCATGCTTTCAAGAGCTGGAGAAAGAAAAAACCACCCAAAATGAGATTCACTCTGCACCTGTCGAAGCCTATTAGCAAAATATGATATTTATTGAATACCACTTCTAATATTTTAAATACCTTACAATATTTAATAAGCATCATCCCACTCAAGTATCATCTGCCTTAGAATTATTAGATTTTCAGTGGAATCTCTCTTCTAGAAAATTTCACAGCTAAAATGTGGAATTGTGAAAACTATTAGATGACCACTGGCCATGTCGACAGTTCAAGCTTCATGAAACCAAGCCATGCTAGCCGATCATCCCACACGCACGCTAGCATAGGAAGTGTAACAAGCTCATACGATGCCAATGACGATGGGGCTTCTGACGTTGTGAACGCCGTCCGACCATGTTAAACGGCCGAAGACAGATGTGCCGGCCTTCGCGCCGGTCTCCGCCTCCACCGTGACGCTGAAGGCCTCCTCCTGGCCGTACTTGCTGAAGATAAGGATTGCCGGAGTCACCTTTACCGAGATACCGGGGGGCGGAGTCACTTGTGCTGTGTACTTGGCCGGCGAAGCGACGTTCTTCACCTTCCTAGTGACGATCGTGGGAGCGGAAAGTCGTGGTACGCTGATGGAGGGGTAGTTGAGGTCGAGGAGTCGGGGAGGAGTCAGCGGACACGCGAAGGGCGCCCCGTGAAAGGTGGCGACCTGACTGGAGTTGTATCCGAGGGCGCAGAGAAAGAGGAGGTAGTCCTCCACCGTGAGGTCGTAGACAAGGCCGGGATCCATGGCCAGGTTCGGGCGGACGTGCCCACTGCCGTAGCTGAACGGGGTGGCAGTCGAGAAAAAGGAATCGAGTATGGGCTTCCCAAGGTTATCATCGATCGTCGCTGCAGCCAAGTTGACAGCAGCAAATCCAGATCAGTCATGGAAAATTTAAGCGACCTTTCTTTCAGCGCCGACTCGAAACTCACCGGTTGTCATGATCGCGGATTTGATCGCCGCCGGGCTCCAGTCGGGGTGAAGGGTTTTGAGGAGTCCGGCGACCCCGGAGATGTGAGGGCAGGACATCGACGTTCCCGACAATATGTTGAATCGAACCCGGCGGTTGTCGAAGGAGTTACGAGATGGTCCGACTGCCTCGGTGAAGGCAGCGAGAACGCTCACACCTGGAGCAGTGATATCCGGCTGCAAGCCATTCAATGCCCAGATCAGAACCGGGAAATTATTTTAACTAGGGCCCTTTAATCATTTCTGTGGAAAGGCTGATAGAAAGGATAGAGATAGATAGATAAAGGAAGTAAGAGAACCTTAAGGATCTCGGGGTTCACAGGGTTGGGCCCTCGGGATGAGAAGTAGGCCATGAAAGGCGCCGGCTTGCTCCCCACCACCGTGGTTGGTGCAATAATGCTAGCTACAGGGTTCCTGCAGCCAAGTCAGTGGATCACTCGTATGTTTTGAAGAAACGACTGGGTGAAGCTGCCTAAGATAAGTGTTAAGACGTCAATTTAATTGGCTTAACAACTCTACGTTCAGTTTGAAACAAAGGTTTTTGCGAACGAGTGAAAATTTTGAGGTCTATGCGTGTTTAAAAACAGAAAGACTATGGTTAATACCGAAATAACATAAATATATGTGAAATGAGGGGAAAAGAGGAATGTTATTATGTTTAAATAGGTTGCAAACCAACACTTTGGAGTTACATCCGAGTTAGGAACAATAAAAACTAGACGCGGCTTCAATCAAATTCAGAAATGTAAACCAACACTTTGAAGGTAAGTCGGTAAACCGGGATGGGAAGATTTAACGAACTGCATGCCGATTCAAGTTGGATATTCAAAGTATGGACAGATTCGCCGGAAATATACCGTGAATTGGATAAGTCTGTGGCGATTCTAGCTAACCTAGTCCATTGTGGGCGTACATCAGTATTTCCAGTCCTCTAAAATTGGATCGTTAAGTTATGCTGTGCGTTGCGAGTTGTCAAGTGTATGCTTCTTCGAGAGATAGAGGAGGTTAGGACATCGACTAGACAGAGAAAGGGAGAGGTAGGGGTTTGGTTGGCGGGACATCGGTGAGGGATGCGATTCCCGCTTGGCCTCGGTTATGGCAGAAGGTTGCATGGAAGATTGACATAATTACTCACATGAAAGAGTTGATGTAATTGTAGAGGGTGAGGCTATCTTCATATGATAACGCTACGGCAGGGAGGACGTGAGGGTCGGCGGGGATATAGTTCGCCCGGGTGGCAGGGTTTGTGATGATAACCCCGACGCCGCCGGCGAGGAGCACCGTCTGGCCTTTCTCCACGTTCGAGACATCTCCCAATCGGCAGGCCACGATCTTCCCCTTCACCTTCTCTGGATCCAGCGACCCCAAGGAGCAGATCCAGCTGAGAAGGACCGAAATATCATTCAATCGGATGAGTACTAGATCAACAATGGAGGAAGCGGGGTCGATCGTCCTTACCCATCGTCGGGGGTAGAATTGGCAGCTTGAGCATTAGCACCACAGATCAGCGGATAGGATTGGTTCGCCGGGAGACTGGAGACGGAAAGGCTCTGGCCCTGGAGGAATCACGCAGGAATGGAGAAGTCGACGAAGTGGAGTGAGCTTCGAGAAGACAACCGAGGAACGAAGAACTGAGTGACGATTCTGAGGGGTGACCGAACCTTGAGTTGTACCCCGCTTCCGAGTATGGCGTAGGAGATGAACTCCCGGTCCATCGTGCTGGCTCCCACAGTGAGGAACCATGGCGCGACGTTCCCTACCGTTCCATTGCGGGGACCGGAATTGCCGCCGGAGGCCACCACGGTGATCCCGTTTTTCACGGCGTGGAACGACCCGATGGCCAGCCCATCCTTAATGTAGTCACTGGCACTCGCACCGAGGGACACCGAGAGCACGTCTACGCCGTCTTCGATGGCTTGATCGATGGCGGCAAGGATGTCGGCCTCGGAGCAGCGGCTGCTGTTTGTGGAGCCCCAGCACACCTTGTATGCCGCCACCCGGGCGCTGGGCGCCCCGCCCTTGGCGGTGCCGTTGCCGAAGCCGAAGAGACTGGCGCCCGGGACGAACCGGCCGGCGGAGGTGGCAAGGGTGTGGGTGCCGTGGCCGTCGGTATCGCGGGAGGTGATCTGGCTGGCGTTTAACGTTCTACCGGCGGCTACATATCCCTTGTAGAAGAATCGGGCCCCGATCAGCTTCCTAGGTCAAGGAAATGACAGCAATTGTCCATCTTATTCACGGTTATACTGAAACATCACATCAAAGCCTCAACCTTGTCTAGATAATCTGAATCACGCCTAGAGATAGATGGACTGAGGCAAAACGATGGCGGAACCGGTGACGGTGACAAGTGATCTCTTAAAAGTTGTCCCTTTGAAACTTTCTATTGTTAGGGTATACGTTACTGGTCGATGGAGTGTTGATGACGATGGTAGTTGCGTGTTATGGTAAAGATGGAGTAGTAAGCGGAGAGACGACCTTTCGAGGTGAACGTTTTGAAAAGCTGCTGAACATACCTATTGCAGCGGATGGGATCGCTGGGGCTGCTCTCGCAGGCCCCCTTCCACCTCGACGGGATGGGCCCCAAGCCCTCGTCGTTGAAGCTTGCCGACTCCGGCCACACCCCTGCGCGGAATCAGGTGACGAACCCAGTAGGGAAGAGAGAGAAAGAGAGAGAGAGAGAGAGAGAGAGAGAGAGAGAGAGAGAGAGAGAGAGAGAGGAAGAAGGCGGGGAAAGAAAAGCGAGGTGAGGAGAGGTTGGGGTGGATTACCAGTGTCAAGATTCCCAATGATTGTGTCTTCCCCTAGCCTTGCCTTCCTCCATATGGAGTTCTCAGGGACAGTCCCTTCGTTCTCCAGCCCTAGGAATTCCCATGAGCGCGTCGTGTGTAGCTCGTGCATCTCGTTGGGTAACACGGCCAAGACTCACGGTGATTCTACAAACAGCAGAAGCGAAGGATAATAAGCCGGCCGCAGTTTAGAGCTGCCAAGGAAAAGAGACCGATGGGAGCGGTAGAAGAGTTCAACTAGATATCTCCATCGCCTCCTCCTCCTCTAGATGTGCGGCAAACCCATTGATGTGCCTCGAGTGGGAGTAGAAGATCGCGTCTTGGGCCTTCTCCTTGCTGCAACATCAATCGATGCCCTAGAGTTAGGTAAGGCTGACTAAAAATGAGCTTGTTAGGAGGGAGACCATTTGGCTGTTATTGAGAAATGAATGTTCAATTACCTGCCTACGAAGGATTCCAGGAACTCGTGGTGGGATGCTGTGACCACATCCGCCTGTTCCAAGGACACCTCTTCCCGGTTGTGAAGATGGCCCCCCATATACACAACATATGTCTGCATTGCAGAAACAGGAAACCCGTCAGTAGAGGGGTTGATGAGATGAGTCGAAGACCAAAATAAAAGAAGCCCAGGAAGGCCAGGTGTTACTTGCCTTCCTGATGGCGGAGGTGGGGGTCTGCAGCAATGCACAGACAAGGAGCCATAGAAGTGAGAGAGGGACCTTCCGAGTCGAAGAACCCATTTAGAAAGCTCCAGTTCTCTTCTCCGTTCGGCCCACCGACCTGAGAGAGGATATCTACCTGGTTCTGATTCGTGAGGACGTAAACCCTGTTTATAATTGGTTTTCGGGATTGGGCCCGTCCCTTCTTAATTAGCCCTGAGCGATATCCTAAATCAACGTCATGTCGTGCCAAAGTCAACCAACAATCGCAGAAAAGGAAACAACAAGGAATCCTCTGTGAGTCAACCAAAAGCTCCCACCCCGACACAAGGCAAGGTTGTCATCTCCTCCGCCTCCGGCGAGCAGGTCTCTGGAGGATTCACCGCCGGCAACCCCACAGCTCTCCCCTAACGCACGGCAATACCGTCGTTTCGACCGCCTCCGGCGAGCAGGTCTCTGGAGGATTCACCGCCAGCAACCCCACAGCTCTCCCGTAACGCACGGCAATACCGTCGTTTCTACCGACTCCGGCGAAAGATCGGCTTTAGACTGAGGAAGCTATCGAGAGAATTGTTGGTTGTTGGGGGGTGTCACACGCGAGGGAGATGATGACGCGTAACCGCCAGTTGGCGGGGGGGGTTGGGGTTGGGGGAGGTGACGCGGGCTGTTTCCGCCCGCACCATGTGTGGACGGGCCTTATTTTTTTGAACCCCAGTAAAGAAAGCTGTAATGTATCCTTATCCCATTAGATTAATGGTGAATCATTCTTCTATTATTCTTCTCTCTACTCATTTCTATCTGTTGGGCTATTGTTGAATCTCTTGAGGCTAAAGGGACCATCTTGATGGCTCTCTTGTGGACTGATAGAGGTGGTCCACACCAACTTTTTGGTATTTTCTTCTGATATTTCCTGCATATATATAGGTTCAGATTTGCTTCCGCAAGTGTGTAACTCCCTTATAGAATTCATTAATGATAATCTTCAAGCACTCTGTAGGTGTTGTCCCTTGTCTTTCTTTGGAAGCCCCATTGACCCACAACAAACATTCCAACCTATCACGTCAGCGGGCAACAGAGAGAGAGAGAGAGAGAGAGAGAGAAAGGGAGAGAAAGAGAGAGAGGCCATTAGTGTAGGCTTCATTAGTCACCCAACAGCCCTGGTCATCACACCCTCATATGATGGTCTTTGAAATATGTTTTCAACACTAATTCTTGTAAATGAGTTCTTTAGTAAATCTAGCCTGCTGTGAGAAATTATAATGACTATTGGAATAAATTATCAAAGAAAAATGATGCCAGGATAATCAAATTATAAAAAATTGAAATTAGTGTAGTTGCCATTTCATTTCATATAGGAAAATAATTTCATGTAAATTATTATTCGTATTTGTAGGCACCTCTAAAAATATAAACTTAGAATGGTCTGGACGACAACAACAGTCTTTGCCACACATCATAATAATCTATAGAAAATTATTTTCCTGTAAGAAAATCATAAAGATTATATGGTAGATATCTAAAAAAAAATAAAATCTATTCAGATGCATAATGAATACAAAGATTCTCAAGCTCCTTGCAGCATAACATCCATGCTAGGAGATAGACTGGTCACCACTTCAGCTTCCATATTTTACAATTTCTCTATCCAACAAACAACTTTCCTATAATAACTTTTCTCAATCTTGGTTTGATGGATCATTTAATTTGTTTTTATTCTCACACCGAATAACATCCTACTTAAATTAGTTTGAAATCAAAATGATCATTCTTGGATACTAATTATGGCTACCCTCATCCGATTATAGTTTGGTTTTAGTGATGACGTATTGAAGACTCTAACTGACCTGGATTGAAAAATCATAGAAATGTTCAACGATCTTAGTTCAAATGGCATATCCTATAGATTTTAATTCAAGATACAAACATAAAATTCTTATTCATAAAACTTTTGTTTCATAACCATGTGCATCGCTTGCATTAAAGCATCAATTCAAATATCAAATTAAAAATGATTTAACAAATCGTGGATTAAATGTATTGATCATCATGAGAATACTAATCAAGAATATTTATTTTATTAATATAATAATATTAATCAAGTTCTCACAATTCAGGTCAGCTGATGCAAGTTCAGTATTTGAATTATCACGTGGTCATCTCAATCATCATAAATCACTATTTGGGGATTAAATTCAGAAAGCATCTTATGCTACAAAAGTAAGTTCAACACCTGATCATTCATATGGTTTTAGACCTAAATTTCTGCCTGAGGTATAGGTATGTGTGTCCTCGTTGAAAAATTATTTTAAAGACAAACACAATCCAGCAAGTGGCACAACAAATTGAAAATTTTAGGTTTTTATTAAATTACATGTAGATTTGATCATTATCAAAACTATATGCATATTCAACTAACACTCTTCCTCTAAGGCTTTGATCTTTCTTCAATCTGAACAGTAAAGGGTTCACTCTTTAGGGAGTAGGCTAAACGAACGTGTTGAAAGCGTTCCATATCACATTTTCTGTCACGATTTTTAGTCCGTGCATTCTATATTACAGGCCGCTCTGTCATTGTTTGATTTAATTAATTTATCACCCATCCTACCCCTCGTATGGCTACATTCCTCACATACACGTAATAACCTAGTAACATAAAATTCTAATATATTACTTTCTCTTACTTTATTTACACTACTTTATAGTCTCAACATCTCTCTACGTATGCATGTGGAATTCAGGAGCCTTAGTTATCCTAAAAGGTTTTGGTATGAGAAAAACATATAATTAATATAAATGTATCAAATTATACTTAATACTTCATATGAGTGATTTCTTGGACGAATGCATGAAATTAAACATGTATAAATTCATAATAATGACATCAAGAGAAGAATATAGTTCAACAAATGTTTTTAATGTTATTATCAGTAAAATATTATTAAGAGAAGAATATATTATGTATGAATTTTTGAAGTAAGCTATTGGTATGAAAATATCAACATACTAGATGCACATGATTTGAAATTATTAATTATAATTATTTTCGATAGATAATTAATTTTTTGAATCAAAACTAGATAAATGACCTCTCAAATTTTTCTAGTTACCAATGAAGACTAAAAAAGGATTTTCGGATATCTCAAATTTTTTGTAGTAATCATGTCAAACATTAATATCAATTCATGTCAAACATTGTTATCAAGATTTAGTAATATAATTTGTATTCATATTTTATTTGAGGTTATGTGGTCATAATTCGGCTTTATAATTATTATTTTAGTGTGACATGTATGTATTTATGATATCGTTTAAATAATAATCTATTCTTATTGTGTGAACCAATAACTTCAAATATCTATGTTCAATTTTCATGAATCTATTTATTATTTTGACATTAGAGGATTATGAAATCGTTAAAGGATGCCTCATATTTTTTTTTGACCATTTGAATTTCTATTTATACATTTTAGCATTGAATAATTGGAAAAAGTAGGTGAAGGGTGTGATCTGAATATCTTTATAAATACAGCCTTGGTCCAACAACTAACCACCACTATACATCATTCTTTGCTACACTAAGATCATGTAATTCTTCCTAAAGGGTTTTGCTCAAAATTACTCATCAATTTGAGCAAAACTTAAAGCTTCTTCCAATGTTGACAAGGAAATAATGTGAGGAACGAATCTTCATCCAATGTTGATATTCTTCAATGTGATTTCTAAAACAACATCTTCTACAATTAGATAGCTGTCTAATAGGAAAAAATAAAATAAAATCAAGCACAATTCAAATTTCTCTTTGTTGAATAAATGGAGATGATTCAAGTCTTCATTAAATATCAAGAAAAGTCAATGATGATATTTTCCTTTTGTTGTGTGGTATGAACTTTTAATTTGATTTGACTTAAATACCCAAGTGAGCTGAGCATTATAGTCAATTTTTGCCTACATAGGTCTAGGAATATAAAACAAAAATTTTAGGCAAGATTTAAGGGATTTGAGCCAGGTAGTTAACAATTATTACCAAGCATTGGTCTAGTGGAACCCAATAATGAGTTATTCTTACATAGTGGATATTTAAAGGAGAAAAAATCACTATAAAAAGCTTAAAGTGATCAAGATTTTTCTCTAGGAGGCTCAAGAGAAGTTAAGATCAAACAAAGGGATCACAAAAATCATTGTGGTTACTGTCAATAGCAATTTAAACTCTTGCTTCTTAATCTGTGTGCGGCCTTAAACCCAATAGTACTGTGTAAATGAAATTAAATTTCATGTAAGCCAATTTACTCACTTGAACTACTTTGAAAGTATTATTTAATAGCCCCTATAAAATGGAACATGGACTTCTGGTCCTTATTGTTCTAACATTAAGTAGTTGGATGTAATTGGGCATCAAACGTAACAATTGGATAAAGTGCTACATAGAAGGCTTGGCGTAATGTCAACGTATTTCACCAATGAGAAGTTATAGACTACACGAAGACCTTTCATCATATTGAGAGACAACAATTAGCACTACAGTTAGAGGGCTTGCCTCTCATAAGTAGTCATTTAGTCAACTAAATTTTAGTAATGCATTTTTGGATGGGGACATTATCATCATAGTTCATCTATTCTAACACCTCTTAAAAAAAGATAAAGTGGATCACATCTTCCCAAATATCTCTACATTCTAAAAATGTATCCCAAAGTTTAATTCTTCAAGTTGAACACATTGGTTTTAATAACTAATTTTCTTTTATGTATTCTCAACATGATATGACTTATGTTATTATTTATGTGGATGATGTTAGGTCACTAGAAGGCTAGGTAGATGAAACAGGAGGGGAAAGGAATAAATTGGTTTCTATCTCTTCTTTTATTTGGCTCTTGGTTTCTAGTAATTTCAAATTACAGTTAAGATTAAAGCACCATAATTTAGTAATAGTTTGGTCCTCCTGACCTATTCCACTCTTTAAGGGACATTTCCATGTATTCTACCCAGTCTTTAATGGTTTACACAATGATTCAGAGACTCAACCATCTACTAAGTTTCACAGCTCCAACTAATTTAAGATTTTCCTCAAAATCTCTTCAAGTTTTAGAACTTTAGAGGGCCATGAATGAAATAAATATCCTACTTCTTCCTTCAAGATTACTAGCTCTAGATGGCCACACGATAAGACCACAAAATATTTACAGTGGTGTTACAATGTTATTGAGCTTAGCATTCACCTCCTTGCTTCTCAGAGGCTTTTGATCTTTTGATTTTGTTTCTTGAGAACCATTAGGTGGATAAAACTTTGAACTTTGAGCAGCACTGGTTAAGCTGTCTCCACTAGCTAATCTGATGATATATATATGTGTACTTTTTAGATATATAATTATTTAATTTATTTTTATTTTAAAATGTTCTAAGAATCTTGGAGATTATTGTCCGTAGTTCGTGAGCATGCCAAGTTGATCGTTAGAGCTTGCTACATGCACACGTGGCATGGCTTCATTGGGATGCACTGTGCTTGCGTGGGTCCTCTACCTACATGCGATGTGTTTCAACTTGAAAGAGAGAGAGATAGAGAGAGAGAGAGGCTACAAAGAACCTACAGGAGAAGAGCTTTAAGTGCTTATCTACCTGCATACTTGCCCACGACTGCAGACATGTTTCTCTCTCCTTAGCAAGCTTTACGGCAGCAGAAGCCAAAGCCTTGGGGCGGTGCGGTTATATCCTCCGCGTGGATATTCGTTCAGGCGTGCGAGTCCCGACGCCTAATCACGTCCCATCCATCCCTCCCCGGATAAGCCGGCGGTCGGCGCAAGAGCCTGAAACGTGGTCGCTGACGTGGGACCTCCTTTTGAAGCCATCGGGTGGCTCTGGAGACGGGCCATGCTGAATAGTGGGTCCTTAATGAAGAAGTTACTGGGCTGCTAGAAAAAAGCCCATAAATGCAAGCCCAAAATAAGGTATTGAATGGGCCGAATTTCTTTGTTGGCTTGTCGGAAGAAAGCCCAGAAATGGCCGATCTTTTCGGGATAGAAGCGAAATAAAAAAATAATTGTCCCATGGAAGATGATTAGACCAATTACCATGTTTAAAATATAATTATGTAATTATATTATATTAATTAATTAATTAATAAATGTTCATGAAACATATTAAAAGAATTCGGAGGCTTTTCAGTTCGAAAAATGTTGTATGCCCCTGGGCTTGGACTCGGCTGTCAGGAACATATTTGATGAAGTTTTGACCTTGCTGCTAATTCTGCAGGTGTGTGCCGTAAAGGGTCTTATGTAATTAAAATGTAAACAAGGGTTTAAGTTGTAATATAGATATATATATATTAATACATGAATAGTGCCATTCTTAACCAGCTTCAGACTGTTTTCTAGCCCTCTCTCTCCTCTCTCTCTCTCTCTCTCTCTCTCTCTCTCTCTCTCTCTGAGGTTTGCTGGACGGAGATGCAGGAAGTCGATTCCCAGAAGCATGAGAAGGGGGGATGATACAGGGAAGATCCATCAGCAGGATTGAGCGTCGCCATCCTGCTGGATAGCTTGCGGGAGATCGTCTCCTTCCAGTCTGTTTCTGAACCGAAGTGAAGTACAGGCAGTTGCTCCACTGAAGGGTGAGGCTGCGACCGTTTGATCCCAGATTTGAGGACACGAGCGCCACCTCTGCTGTTGCTCTCCCAAGTCTGGACCTGTGCACTTGCCGATCCGGGATAGCTCGCCGATGTACTCTTCGCAGCAGACTCCAGTTCAGCCCACACCGAGACCCCTGCCGCGCTTTTCGTCCTAGGGTTTTCAAGTGCCATTTCGGACTACTTTCGTTTTGCTAGGCCTTCGGCAGAGCCTCACGCCTTCCCGGATAGCGGCTTCTTGATCGTGTTCAAGCTGATGGCGGAGAAGGCTCTGCAGACTGACGCCCACGGTGGCGACTCTGCTTCGGGTACTGGCTCAGAGAAGGAAGAATCAAATCTGGATAGGGGAGGTGAGGAAAAGTCCGCCAGAAAGTCTATGACTGGCGAGGTGCCGGATAGGGAATCTGCGATTGATCGTCTGGATGGTAGTTCTTCGAGTTTCGGTGCCTCTGGTCGTAGAGCGAGGAGGATGAGGGAGAGATTGGTGGGGGCGCTTCGTCCCGTGGAATTGGAGGTAGAGGACGTATCTTATCAACATGCAGGCCACGCTGCTGTCAGAGGGAATGACCATGGGGAGACTCATTTCAACGTGAGGATTGTCTCAGAGGAATTCGAAGGAAAGAGTCTGGTGAAGAGGCACAGGCTCATTTATGATCTATTGCGGGAGGAGTTGCAGAGCGGATTGCATTCCCTCTCCATTGTTGCAAAGATTCCTTCTGAGTCCGCCTACAAGTAGAAGATATCTTGTCCCCCATCTGAATCTGGTATGATTCTCTCTTCGTCTGGAACCATGAAATTACTCCTGTAATTAATGGAATTAAGCTCATCTTCTTGAAAGTCATTTCTGAAGTTAGATTTGTGGAAACTTTTGTTTTACATCGAAATAATTGTGCGGCTAACACCTGAGTGACGGAATCAATGCGCAGCACTGAAGCTGGAATGATCTTGGGAGGCCCTTCCATATAACTAGCTCTGGATATAAAAGAATTTCAGATGCATTCAGTCCTTTGTTGAACAACTCAAATTCCTGATTGGATGATAGAACTGGGTTATCACATATCCGGAAATTTTCTAATTGAGCCCTAGAAAGAGTATTTATTTCTTGCATTACTCTCAATCGTTTCCATTTAAAGCTCAGACCCTGTTTGAACAGCAAATACACTGTTTATCCATCACTTAAAGAAGAAATTTTGTTGGAAAACTTCTTCTTTGGTCATTTGGTGACTTCTCTGCTAGAAGGGCCCAACGGACCCTTCATCTAGTACGGTTAATTCCATTTAAAGGAATTTCTGAGCATCCGGCTCACACACAGTAGTGAGATGCGGGTGGATTCACACTTACCAAGAAGAAGAAAGCCTTCCAATTTGCCAATTTGCCCTGTTGTGAATGATCTGAAGGTTGAACCTGAGGGCTTTTGTCTATAACCTGTGCCTTCATACTCACTCTTGAATCCTTTAACCCTGGGTTTTCTGACTCAGTGTGGAAGTTTTGCTGTAGAATTTTGATTTCCTCTTTAAATCGCCAGATGCTGGGGGCCTGAAGACGTTCTACCTTGGACCTTCGAGTCTACCTTGGGATTGTGAGTGGTAGTCATTTAAACTTTGATTACTAGATGCTATTGGCTTTATTCATCGCAATTTAACGAATAATCTGAAGGTTGAACCTAAAGTACTTTTGGCCTCTGAGTCCATCCTCAGTCTTTGTCTGTATTTTGGATAGGAATCATTAAAACTTGGTTTCGCTATCGAATTTTTTGATTCCCCCTGCCAGTGCCTAGCCTGGTTGACCGGGCTTGAGCTTTTCTGAGGTTATGCCTGGAAGCCAAAAGGCCCAAAGGCCTGCCCTTCCGGCACCCAGGGTGGTTTGACCTGATCAGTGACCCAATGGGAAGATAGAATTAGGCTTAAAAAATGAGGGAGGAAACAAATACAATTTATAAAGTGTATGTACAATTATGCTCCTTTAATGAGGCAGTTAAGGAAAATTTATTGTACAAATCATTTCTCTCTCCTTTTCCATCGTTGTCACACCCAAACGCCTGGGCCCGGGCCCAAACCCCTTTTCGAGGCACTTCTCATAATGAAACTGCATAAAAGCTACTCCAGGATGCATTTGTCATTGATTTATAAAAGTTTTGATTGTCATCATAAGAGCTACTCCAGGATACTTAATCAGTCATTGTTTCTTGTATAATCGGACTGTTCGATGCGGCATGGTTTGCTGGGTGGGAGCCTTTGTGGAAGTCACCTGCGCTGGCTGAAGATTACTCCTTTATGATTCAGGGTTTAGGGTTCTTGATATAGTTTTTTCCCTTGACAGAATCTATGCAGGTCACGGAGAATAAGCTGATCATCAAAACTATTGACTATGGTGAAGAATTTATTTAGACTAGTAGTGTGTTAACTGGTCAGACTTTTATGAAACAATGGTTTGACCTAGTCCGGCTCAACAGGTCAGGAATTTATAAAGTCTTCAATCACACACGTTTCTTGTTTTCCAGTTGGGTAGGACGCCAAATATTGATTACGGAAGTCAACCTAGACATGGGTTTCAGTCTTTCATACCTTCTCCTTCATTTCTCTCTCATCTTACATCGACATGAATCCATTAGCTGAGAAGCCAACAAAGTCAACCAAGACATGGGGTTCAGTCCTTCATACATTCTCTTTCATTTCTCTCTCATCTTTCATCGACATGAATCCGTTAGCTGAGAAGCCAGCAAAGTCAACCTAGATAAATTTCATTAGCTGAGAAGCCGACAAATTTCAATTGATATCCTTCTCTTTCATTTCTCTCTCATCGTCCAGCTACATGAATCCATTAGGTGAGAAGCTGACAAATTTCAACTAAAGATTCAATTGATATCAAATGTTAACAAATTTGTCAGAACGGTAGCCTTGATTGAGGCCCAATCTAATTCTTCTTATTTCATGATCTAGGGTGGGTTCAGGGGTTTACATAAATTTATTTTATTTTGTCGATAATAAATTTATGTAATTATTTGGACTCTGAATGCACGGTCAACGCTATGATGGGGGCTCGGCCTGGAAGCCCAAAACATATATTATAATTAGTATTTAATGGCAAAGAAAGCTATCGACATAAGTTAAAACAGTATTAATATCAATGTTAATACTACTAATAATATTAATTGAAATATATCTTTCACAATCTCTGCTTCCAACCCTTTGCTCGAGTACTCTGAAAATGATTTTAAAAATATAATTAGGTGTTTATTTTTGAAATAATAGATAGACGAGCATTGCTAGCACCTCTCCATCTGCATCTCGATTTGACGCAAACCCGTAAGAACAAAGTTTGATGGAAAGATGTCGAAGGTTCGCGCGCGAATTTGTAGTCGTGGAAAGTGATTAGAAGATTAGGGAGGGAAATCGTTCTGACAAAACGTGATTGAGTTCCCGAAATCCTGGAGACTTTGTATGAGATTCTGGCACCGGCGCGCAAGATCCAGATCATGACCGAGACGCCTTGCCGAGACGTGGTGTCTATTAGTATAAGCCGCAGAGGCCCCACCGTGGCTCGCCAACCTCGAGCAGCTGGACGGTATTGGTGCCACAGCAAGAGCTCGCCGGGGGGAGTTCCCCCGGCTTCGTATCCGGTTTCTTCTTCTCGTCCTTGTCTTTAACGGGTTCAACTAGGACCAGCTTGACTGAACCGGAGCGCTTTCCGACCAGTCCTTTCAAGGTGAAGGAGCGCTCGAAGCCCATCTGTTTCCTCAGTCGCCGCGTTAGCTTGACGGGGTCGATTCCGATGCCCACCACCACAAGCTTGTCCCTGTTGTTTCCTCCCAAGGCCACCGAGTTTATAACCCCTGAGAGTCAAAAGCACCCGTGAGGGATCCCATGTCCTCTCTCTCTCGCTCTCTCTAATTATCTTTCTCCAGAGAAACTCTTACCCCCAACCCCTGCTACGATTTTTATGACCTCGGCACGCATCTTCTCGTCTTCCATGGAGATATCCACCTCAATCTTGTGCTGGTACAGATGGGAGGATCAACTGAAAGAGTTTCAGAAGAAGAGTAGGAGAAAGAGAAGCTTACCGCCATCGCTGCCGTTGAGCCGGCAACTTGGACGAAGCCTATGAAGGATGACCCGAGTGCAGGTCTGAACTTATATAAGTCCAAGAATTCTGTAAAATCGCGACCTTATGGCGAATACCGTACTTCAATGTGCCCAGTGTGACCTGGAACGTTTGACCCACAACGAGACAAAATATATCGTCAACGTATTGAATTATTACAGTATAATTTATCTAAGTTTGGTCTATATTTTAGACGAAATGACTCAACAATGTGAGCTCATGAGATGGACTGGTGTGTAATGCCCCGAAAAGCAGACCACCATGAAGAGTCGCCCATCACCATCGCCCCCGTCAAGCACGATAAGGTTGTCGTTTCCTTCGCCTCTGGCGAGTACGACCCTGGAGGATCCACAGCCGGCAACCGCACAACCCCCCGCGACGCACGGCAAGGTTCTCGTCTCCTCCTCCGGCGATTGGGTCCCTAGAGGATCCACCGCAGACAACCACAACCACACCACACAGCTCCCCCCACTACGCACGGCACGGTTTTCTCCTCCTCCCCCCTGGCGAGCACGTCCCAAGAGGATCGAACGCTGGCATCCACACATCCCCCCTACGACACACGGCAAGGTTTTCGTCCCCGCCACCGGTCAGCAGGTCCCTGGAGGATCCACCTCCGGCAACCGCACAGCTCCCCCTACGACACACGACAAGGTTTTCGTCGCCTCCGCCTCCGGCGAGCAGGTCCCTGGAGGATCCACCGCCGACCCCACAGCTCGCCCCCTGGCGCACGGCAAGACCGTCGTTTCTACCGCCTCCGGCGAAAGCTCGTCATCAGACCGTTGACGGGACTTCCATGGGTCCCTCTAAAGAAAAGGCCCGGAAACTGCCAGAGAAACTTTGAGGAAGCTGTCAAGAGAAACCATGAATGATGATCTTCAGTCCTCTATATTACTTGCGATACGGTCTAGATTTCCCAGTTAAACGTGAAAGATCCGTGAGAATAATGTGTGGAACGTACTACGACGAGAACAGAAGGCAGCAGACTCGCAATCGATCCTTTCTTGCCCTTCTCATCATTTCAGTCAAACATAATAAGTACGTTGACCCTCGTCTTTCTTTGGATGCCCCATTGACCCCCAACAAACATTCGAACTTATCACGTCAGTTGGCACGCGCGCGCTCGAGAGAGAGAGAGAGACAGAGGCCTACGGTCTGGGCTTTATTGGTCAGCCAACAGCTCTAATCGTCTCACTCTTGTATGATGATCTTGGAAATATGTTTACTACACTAATGCCTTCTAAATGAGTTCGGTATTTAGTCTAACCTGGTGTGAACAATAAATTGCAACTGCTTGCAAAAATTATGGAAGAAAGTTGATCCGAAAATAATCAGATTATATAACATTTAAAAATGAAAGCAGTTGCCATTGCATGTCGTGTTTCAAAGGCGATACTTATAGGGACCTTTCAAAACAAGAATTTAATCTGGACGACAACAATAGCCTTTGCCCACAACACCGTAAAAATTTATAGAAAATTATTTTCTGGTGCGAGAATCATAAATATTTTAGGACATATCTGAAAACACAAATATCTATTCAAATCCATCATGAATACAAAGATTCTCAAGCTTCTCATAAAACAAGATCGATGCTACGGGATAGAATGCTCACCACCTCTAGCGTTTGCTTCCATATTTTACGATTTCTCTATCCAATAAACAAACTTTCCTCTAATAACGTTTCGTCAATAAATATTTTTCAATTCTTCACTTAAATTATTTTGAAATCACAGTGATCATTGTTGGGTACTAATTATGGCTACTCTCAGCCTATTATATTTTGGTTTTACTTCTGATATTATTGAGGAGTCTAATAGACCTAGATTAAAAAAATCTTAGAAATGTTTAATGATCTTAAATGGTATATCCTATACATTTTAGTTCAAGATACAAATGTGAAATTATTATTCATTGATATCAAAACTTTCTTGCATAATCATGCACATCACATGAGTTCAAACATTGATTCTAATATCAAATAATTTTACTTATCATGGATTAAATGTATTAATCATCAAAGTTTTTTTCTAAATTCAATTAGGATACTAATCAAGAATATTTATTTCAAAAATATCATAATATTAATCAACTGCTCATAATTCCATTAATCAACTGTCACGTTCATCTTTGAGCTAGCCTTCTAAGGCAGTGCTTATTTTTGTTGCACCATCTTGGAATTAAAAATCATTATATGAACCATTTTGCCTGAGTAAATTTCTCAACTCATTATTATTGTAAAAACCATAACAAAGAAATTATTTTAATTTTTTAAAAAAATTCTCATTGCAAATATCTTTCTAAGAAGTGTTAAACGACTATTTATGGGTCACCATTTTTCCTCTAAAACTATTTTACTAATTTTGAAGCAAAACTGTTTGACTATTTAAACAATAATTTCAGCCATAACTATTGACCATTTTTTCTTTGAAAAAATGGCACATCTGAACATATAATTCAAATCTTATGAAATTAGAAAACTACTCCTTATACATATTGCCATGATCAAAAAAATATAGGCTCATAAAACCATAGATGAGATACTTACCAATAAACTCAATTGAAACAGTGCCCCACAGCTGTCAAAGTCACATGGGGTTGAAACACGAGAGTTCTGGAGGGAACTCCTCTCAGAGGGAAAGTAAGCGGAGAGGCAAACTCGCTTGAGGGGTGACGTGACTCAGTCGTTGTATATTAAATCACGCAGATCTAAAATTTATAAAACTAGAAAATACGAATTTCTAGATATTTAGAAGTATTTATAAATAAATATATCAATTATAATTTAATAAAAGTTCCAAAAATAGCGATAATTTCCCAGGTCGATCACAGGGATGTAATATAATATTTTGTAATTATTCAGAGTTTTTCTCAATGAATACGATTTTCTATGAATTTTATACTAGGAAATGAAAAGGAAATATATTTAAAATTCACGAAAAAAAAGAGGAAATAAGGGTGCGGACGACAGGATGACGTCAGCGCCCGGCGAACGCGAATCGGGCGGAAACAGAGTTCCGCCCGGCGATTAAAAGCCGGAAGAATCGTAATTGAACGAAGTATAGTTTGGTAAATTAAAATCACACAAAGTATCACTAAATAAAGCGTAAATTAAATTGAAAGCAGGAAACCAGAGTTCCGGCGTCGCGACGGCGATGCGTCGGCGATGCACCGGAATCCTGAGCGTTCGGGAGGATCGTCGTGCAGTGTCCACGGCCTCGAAGGCTCTCCTTGGACAAAGACGACGTGGGCAATCTCTAGATCTTCTCGCGAAGTCTAGAGATCAATGAAGTGGGTCGTCGAATCGTCTCCGGCGGCTGTCACCCGGCGGAGCGGAAAAACGGCGACTTTGCGGCTCTCCGGCGGCTGTCACCCGACGGAGAGGAGCTGGATGGAGGTGGGGCGCGTGTTAGGGAGCTTCATCCTCAGGTCCGCGCAGCAAGGGGAGGCTCTTCATCGCATCTGGTACGCTCTCAGGAGGTGGCGACTCGTCTCCCGGCGGATCGTCCTCTTCCCGACGACGGCTTGTTCGTCGATCAATCGGAGATGATTTACTCGATGGATTGCGATCCTTTTATCGCGAATCGTTCAACAATTTTAGTAGCAATGCTCCGCGAATCGCGTTGACGAGATTTTCGCCGATGATCCAGCGATTCCGGTTGCTTAATCCTTCACCGGCGATCTGCAGGAAAGTCGCGATAATCAGTTAAAAATATATGAATTTTGACTCTGGGAGGATTCGAACCCGCGGCGGTCGCCCGCCCCTGAGCAAGGTGTGACGCGGGTTTAGTCCCACATCGGTTGTGCGCGGATTATTCGGGCGAATATATAGTAAAGTTAGCTTTCTAGGCAAAGTCCTCTTGCGTGTACGACCACTCCTTGCCCCACAGCCGGCTGGCCACCGGTGACGTGGAAGGGGAGTGGCGCACACGTGCCCCTATCGATCCAAGCAAGCCGCTCGAACCCCTGCTCGCGGCTACTCCCCGACTACGCTTCCGACCCGCTTGCGGGCCCGGCTGGCCGGCGGGTCCCCCCATTTTGCAATATTTTTATTTTTATTTCTTGTTCTTCATTTATCTCAAAACTAAGACTGTAAAAATCGTATAAAATCACATAATTACCCAAAAATTCATGTTAATCAACTGAAAACCACTTTTCATGCTTTAACACAAATATAAGTCTATTTATCATGAGTTAAGGCTAAAACTATATTATTTACTAATTATTAACTCATGATAATGAAGACTTATCACACCCCCCAACTTAAATCATTGCTAGTCCCTTAGCAATGGAATTACGAAAATAAAAATTTACAAATCTCAAACATCATATTTCAATACAGAAAAGAAATACAATTAGAAATGATGCACCTTTAAACACTTTGGATTCTTATATCAAGTATTTAAGAATGATGTCAAGCACTTAAATGTTTAAACACTCCTTGGAATAACAATCTAGACTTCACTTCTTCTATTCACATCTTTATCACTTCTTCACTCATAGATGTATTTACAAGATGTTCCAATTATCAATACTCATCTAAGAATAATATTGATCTTACATTTCCCTTTTTCTATGACTTGATTTTTGAAGTTTGCACTATATTTCTTCCTTCTTTTTTTTTTTTATATATATAGTGGATAAGTAGCTTTTCCTGTAGACAAATTTCGACAATAAGAATGATGTCTCACACCCTCCATGTGTACTCTTCATTTTCAGGGCTTTCACTTTATCCACTTATTTTTCAGCAAGTGTTTTTCTATGCACGATTTTCGACAATGAGAATGATGTCTTACACCCTCCATGTGTACTCTTCGTTTCTAGATTTTTCACATTGCTCTCTTTTTTTTTTTTTTTGAAATAAGTGATTTCTCCTCACAAGTCCTATAGATCAGGGTGCAAAAATCTCCATTAAACTCAAATGATCAATCAAATTTTCACATCAAGTAAATATTATCCATCAAGATCATGAAGTGAAAATCTGTAAAATCAAATCCGTGTTATCTATCATGTATCCAAGGAGTATTCCAACATTTCATGCTACTAGATCATTCTTTTGACTCAATAATAATCTTCCTAGTATCTTTTGGTATCAATCAATCTAATTGATTTAATTTTTCATGCATGCAATATGATGTAAGGAATTTGTAAATTAGATAGTTCTGACAGTTCTGTTTTCTGTTTTCAGTTCTATTTTAGCAGCAATAAATTTGTCAAAAATAAATCAAAACTATCTTCTTTATAGCTGTAATTTCGAATTTCAGTAATATATGTCTAGGGGATTGAAATGTGAGAAAAGGGTCTCTATAATTTCAAATTTCGGGTTGTTTTTTCATCTGCTGTTTTTGACAGTCTATTGTTCCTGACAGAAAACCAGAAAATAGATGTTGCAGTTTTTCCGAATTCGGTGATTTTTTTTATTTTTTTTTTAGTTGCTGTTCTAAGTTGAATAAAATGCAAACACATGTTCTTAATCGTCCTACAGCATAAATTAATAATGAATACTTCCCCCCCGACTTAAAAATGACATTGTCCTCAATGACACAAAAAAAAAATCGAAACAGAATATGCAGAAAATATAATTTTCAAGTTAAGCATTAAAAATATTGTCATAAATGATAAAGCTCAGAAAGACATCACCTCAACCTCGTTTTTAATTTTCCACTTCATCTTACACACCTCCTCCTGCACTTCTTCGAAAAAAAACAAATACAGAAACAAGTACTGCGAAATTCTAAGAAAAATAGAGCTTAAAAAAAATCAAACAGAATGAAATAAAAACCATGGGTTGCCTCCCATGCAGCGCTGAATTTAATGTCTCCAGCTGGACTCCTTGATCTTACTCTTGAATTTCTTTTAATAATAAAATTTCTTTTTTTGCAAGGCGTTCATGTTCTATGTAATGTTTAAGCCGCTGTCCATTTACCTTAAAGTTATGATCACTTTTAGGATCTTTAATCATTACAGCCCCATGATCATATGTCTCTTCCACCACATAAGGCCCTTTCCATTTTGATTTTAATTTTCCTGGGAATAATTTCAGCCTAGAATCATATAACCACACTTTTTGTCCAACATCAAATTTTTTTCTGCTAATGTATTTATCATGAAAAGTTTTAGTTTTTTCTTTATATATTCTATGATTTTCATAAGCTTCATTCCTCAACTCCTCTAGTTCATGTAACTGAAAAATTCTATGCCCACCAGCTGATTTTTCATCCATACATAAATTTTTTATAGCCCATAATGCTTAATGCTCTATTTCCACAGGAAGATGACATGGCTTTCCAAAAATGAGACGAAATGGGGACATACCTATGGGATTTTTATAAGCTGTTCTATAAGCCCATAATGCATCTTGTAATTTCGTGGGCCAATCTTTCCTATCTGGTCTAACTATTTTTCTCAAAATTCTCTAAATTTCCCTATTTGCTACTTCAGCTTGCCTATTTGTTTGGGGATGATATGGAGTGGCTACTCTATGGTGTACTCCATTCTTTTTCAACAGTTATCTGAAATTTTTATTTGTAAAATGTGTTCCTCCATCACTAATAATCACTCTAGGACATCCAAATCTCGAAAAAATATTTTCCTGCACAAATTTCATCACGATTTTATGATCATTAGTTCTAGTAGGAATAGCTTCCACCCACTTCGACACATAATCAACAGCAAGCAAAATATATTCATATTTTTCAGCTGATGGGAAGTGACCCATGAAATCTATTCCTCATACATCAAAAATTTCGACTACTAACATGTTACTCATGGGCATTTCATCTTTTTTACTCATGTTACTTATAGATTGGCATGAAATACATGTTCTACTAAATTCTATAGAATTTCTAATGATTGTAGGCCAATAAAAACCACACTGAAAAATTTTTGCAGCTGTTTTTCGTCTAGAGAAGTGTCCTCCACAGTTAGATGAATGGCACATGTTAATAATGCTATGGTATTCTTCTTCAAGAACACATCTCCTTAAAATTTGATCATTGCCCAAGTAATATAAATCAGGATCATGCCAAAAATAATTTCTAATCTTAGAAAAGAAATGATTTTTTCTGTTCTTATCCCACTATTCTGGAGTTTTTCCAGAAACCAGAAAATTAACAATATGTGCATACCATGGTGATGGTTGATGTTGAGCTGCCATCAATTGTTCATCTAGAAATGCGTCTTGTAAAGGTGCTGCATTTATTCCCGTGTCACTTAATCTAGAAAGATGGTCAGCAACAGCATTCTCGAAACCTTTTTTATCTTTTATTTCTAAGTCAAATTCCTGCAACAATAAAATCCATCTTAATAAACGTGGCTTTGCATCTTTCTTATTTAACAGATATTTTAATGCTGCATGATCAGTATAAATAATAATTTTAGCTCCCAAAATATATGATCTAAACCTTTCTAACGAAAATACTACAGCTAACAACTCTTTTTCAGTCGTGGTATAATTTAATTGAGCATCGGATATAGTTTTACTAGCATATGAAATTACTATGGGTTTTGACTCTTTTGTTTGTCCTAGAACGGCCCCCACTGCATAATTCGATGCATCACACATTATTTCAAAGGGAAGGGACCAATCAGGAGCTTGTAAAATGGGTGCCTCAGTAAGTAATCTTTTTATTACGGAAAAAGACTCAAAACATTTCTCATCAAAATTAAAAGGCATATCTTTAGATAATAGCATGGTGAGAGGTTCAGAAATCTTCGAAAAATCTTGAATAAATTTTCTGTAATAACCTGCATGACCCAAGAAAGATCTAATCTGTTTTACTGAATTTGGAGGTTTCATTTTAGATATAATATCAATTTTTGCTCTATCCACCTCTAAACCCCTTTTACTCACAATATGACCCAACACAACTCCCTCTTTAACCATAAAATGTGATTTCTCCCAACTCAAAACTAATTTTTTCTCTATGCATTTCTCAAGTACATGCTGTAAATGATTTAAGCATTCATCAAATGATTCGCCAAAAACAGAAAAATCGTCCATAAAAATTTCCATGCATTTTCCAATCATATCAGAAAAAATAGACAGCATACATCTTTGAAATGTGGCTGGAGCATTACACAGACCAAAAGGCATGCATTTAAAAGCAAAAGTACCAAATGGACAAGTGAAAGTTGTTTTTTCTTGATCTAAAGGGTTTATATAAATTTGATTATAACCAGAGTATCCATCCAGAAAACAAAAAAAGTTTTTTCCAGCTAATTTTTCTAGAATTTGATCAGTAAATGGTAGGGGAAAATGATCTTTTCTAGTAACTGAATTTAATTTTCTATAATCAATGCAAACTCTCCAACCGGTAGTTAGTCTTGTTTGTATTTCATCCCCATTTTTGTTTTTTATAACCGTAATCCCTGATTTTTTTGGCACTACTTGTGTAGGACTAACCCATTTGCTATCTGAAATAGGATAAATAATATCAGCAGCCAGCCACTTTAAAATTTCCTTTTTTACAATTTCCATCATGTTAGGATTTAATCTTCGTTGTGGTTCCCTACTAGTTCTAGCCCCCTCCTCTAAATATATACTATGCATGCATACACTCATATCAATGCCCCTTAGATCGTCCATTTTCCAGCCCATAGCTTTCTTATTTTTTCGAAGTACATCTAATAATTCTTCTTCCTATTCATCACTCAAATCAGCTGCAATAATAATAGGAAATGAATTATTTTCCTCCAAAAACATATATTTTAAACTAGAGGGAAGAGGTTTCAACTCTAAATTCAGATGATCTTCCTCTTTCTTTTCTTCTAAATTTATATTCTCTATTTCCTCTAATTCTTTCAGCACATAGTCATCAATAACATCTGGATCATCAAAATCATCTAGAAGATCTATGGTATGACAATCATATACTTGGGATTTCTTAATATCATTTGATATCTCAAAAATTTTAATTTCTACTGATTGATCTCCACATGAAATTTTCGCAATACCTATGGGAAAATCAATATTCATCTTTGCTGTATGCAAAAATGGTCTCCCTAAGATGATTGGTGTATCATAAAACTGTCCATTAAAATCCATTTCCAGTACTACGAAATCAGCTGGAAATTTACACCCTTTAACTGTCACTATCACATTTTCTAAAATACCTTTAGGATGTTTTATGGATCTATCAGCAAATTGTAAGGTAACAGTAGAAGGTTTAAGATCAGAAATATTAAATTTATCACAAATACTTGCAGGTAATAAATTAATGCTAGCACCGGTGTCAAGTAATGCATTCTGAAAAATGAATCCACCAATATCACACGAAATCAAAGGGGCACCTGTATCTCTCAATTTATATGGTAATTGATTTAATAATAATGCACTAGCATGCATAGATAATTTTTCTACTCTAGGTGCCCTTTTTGGTGTACACATTTCTTTCAAAACTCTAGCATATTCAGGAATATGTTCAATGGCAGTAAGTAAAGAAAGACTAATTTGCACATCTTGTAAAATTTTCTTTATTTCTTCATTGTGTTCCTTTTTCTTTCTTTGTCTAGGCTCTAGAGCTTTAGGAAATGGAATGGTTGTCCTCTCTTTCGAAATTTCCTTGGTAGAATCTATAAAATCCTCTTCTACTCCTATTTGATTTTGTTTTGGGTTGTCCACGTTTTCTTTTTCTTCTAATGTTTGAGGATAAGGATCAGCTAAGATCTTACCACTCCTTAATACATTCACTGTCCTAACATTTTCATTTCGTGGGTTTTTTCCTAGATTCATGCTACTAGACTCCCCTTGCTGAAATCCTATTGTTGGGCAGTTCCCTAGATTTTCTATGGGCTGACTAGGTAGCTGTCCCTCTTCTCTCTTATTCCCAAGAGCCTCTATAATTTGTTTCTGGTGCAGCATCATTTGGTTCATAGTTTGTTGCATCATTTGGCTCATTTGCTGCATCATTTCCATAGCATCAAGTTGGATTTGAGAGGACTGATTTTTCTGAAATTTGTTTTCTTGTTTTGGACGAAATTCAGAGTTTGAATTGGGTCTAAGTGCTTCTGGATTTTGAATATTATTTGGGTCTCTCCATGAAAAACTATTCCTCCAATTAGGATTATAAGAATTTGAAAAAGGTTCCTTGTTTCTATTAAAACCGTGAGCTACTTGCACTTGTTCTTGCATAGGGTGAAATGATTGATCTAAATTATAACATTGAAATTCAGAATAATCGTTTTCACCATACATAGGACATGTACTATTCGAATTAAGTTGAGGGTTAAAAGGCTTTCTAATATTGTCAATAAGTAAATCAATTTTTTCTAATCTTTGATTAATCTGATTAACCTCATTTCTAAGTTTAGAATCATCATCATGATGCAATTCATAAATTCCTCTCTTCTTATCCCTGTCATATAATTCAAAAGAGGCTTGATCTCTAGAATTTTCACTTAAATTCTCATAAAGACTGTAAATCTCATCAGGAGTTTTCTCCATAAAAGCTCCTCCACATATAGAATCAACCATATTTCTATGTTGTTCTAATAATCCATCATAAAAAATTCTATTGAGCTGCCACTTGGGTATAGCATGATGAGGACACTTTCTAAGTAAATCTTTAAATTTTTCCCATGTCTCATGCAAAGTTTCTCCTGGTCTTTGAGAAAAACTCCATATATGTTTTCTCATATTTTGAGTTTTTCCTAAGGGATAAAATTTTCGAAGAAAGGCCTGTTCTATATCTTTCCAAGCTAGTTAATTCTCTATCTAATGTGGATAGCCAATGACTAGCTTTGTCCCTAAGTGTATGAGGGAATAATTTCATCTTAATAATTTCCGGTGTAACTTGAGGGAGATTAACTAAATCACAGACCATATGAAATTTTTCCAAGTGCTGATGAGGTTCCTCTAAAGGCAATCCATGAAAATTAGGGAGCATTTGAAAAATTCCTAGATTTATTTCGAATTTAACAGTGGGTGCTAATGGGACTCTAATATTGGATGCTCTTTGAAATGAATCAGGGATATAATGATTTTTCATGGCCATAGGATTGTTCTCAGTTTGACCTGTACTTCCTTCAGGATCCATCAAAATTAATTTTTCTTTCGGATTTTTCTTTTTGAATGAAATAATGAAAGGATTTTCTAGCCTTGGATGCAAGGATCTTCTACCATGCATAAAAATAAATAAATTCGAGGGAAAAAGTTAGTAACTGTTACCCTCCTTCAGGATGCTCCAGTCCTTGCCGTGCTTCTTTTCGTTCCCTTTTTCTAATAAAAATCGGCAAAAAGAAAATAAAACAAGAGTTAAGTTATTATTTTTATTTTTTTTATTTTGTACTCTAAGAGAAAAATAGAAAAATACTAAATATTATGCAATACATCCCCGGCAACGGCGCCAAAATTTGACGTGACTCAGTCGTTGTATATTAAATCACGCAAATCTAAAATTTATAAAACTAGAAAATACGAATTTCCGGATATTTAGAAGTATTTATAAATAAATATATTAATTATAATTTAATAAAAGTTCCAAAAATAGCGGTAATTTCCCAGGTCGATCACAGGGATGTAATATAATATTTTGTAATTATTCAGAGTTTTTCTCAATGAATACGATTTTCTATGAATTTTATACTAGGAAATGAAAAGGAAATATATTTAAAATTCACAAAAAAAAAGAGGAAATAAGGGTGTGGACGACAGGATGACGTCAGCGCCCGGCGAACGCGAATCGGGCGGAAACAGAGTTCCGCCCGGCGATTAAAAGCCGGAAGAATCGTAATTGAACGAAGTATAGTTTGGTAAATTAAAATCACACAAAGTATCACTAAATAAAGCATAAATTAAATTGAAAGCAGGAAACCAGAGTTCCGACGTCGCGACGGCGATGCGTCGGCGATGCACCGGAATCCTGAGCGTTCGGGAGGATCGTCGTGCAGTGTCCACGGCCTCGAAGGCTCTCCTTGGACAAAGACGACGTGGGCAATCTCTAGATCTTCTCGCGAAGTCTAGAGATCAATGAAGTGGGTCGTCGAGTCGTCTCCGGCGGCTGTCACCCGGCGGAGCGGAAAAACGGCGACTTTGCGGCTCTCCGGCGGCTGTCACCCGACGGAGAGGAGCTGGATGGAGGTGGGGCGCGTGTCAGGGAGCTTCATCCTCAGGTCCGCGCAGCAAGAGGAGGCTCTTCATCGCATCTGGTACGCTCTCAGGAGGTGGCGACTGGTCTCCCGGCGGATCGTCCTCTTCCCGACGATGGCTTGTTCGTCGATCAATCGGAGATGATTTACTCGATGGATTGCGATCCTTTTATCGCGAATCGTTCAACAATTTTAGTAGCAATGCTCCGCGAATCGCGTTGACGAGATTTTCGCCGATGATCCAGCGATTCCGGTTGCTTAATCCTTCACCGGCGATCTGCAAGAAAGTCGTGATAATCAGTTAAAAATATATGAATTTTGACTCTGGGCGGATTCGAACCCGCAGCGGTCGCCCGCCCCTGAGCAAGGTGTGACGCGGGTTTAGTCTCACATCGGTTGTGCGCGGATTATTCGGGCGAATATATAGTAAAGTTAGCTTTCTAGGCAAAGTCCTCTCGCGTGTACGACCACTCCTTGCCCCACAGCCGGCTGGCCACCGGTGACGTGGAAGGGGAGTGGCGCACACGTGCCCCTATCGATCCAAGCAAGCCGCTCGAACCCCTGCTCGCGGCTACTCCCCGACTACGCTTCCGACCCGCTTGCGGGCCCGGCTGGCCGGCGGGTCCCCCCATTTTGCAATATTTTTATTTTTATTTCTTGTTCTTCATTTATCTCAAAACTAAGACTATAAAAATCGTATAAAATCACATAATTACCCAAAAATTCACGTTAATCAACTGAAAACCACTTTTCATGCTTTAACACAAATATAAGTCTATTTATCATGAGTTAAGGCTAAAACTATATTATTTACTAATTATTAACTCATGATAATGAAGACTTATCAAGGGGCGATGGGCTGCCTAGGGCAGATCAAATCAGAGTTTCCTTTATATTTATATGAATATCACATTAGGCATGACCATTTCCAAAGATCTTGGAAATCTCCACTATATTTTTATATATATGGTATTCCTTAGTAACATTTGCATTATTGGGCTTTATTGAAAATTTATTTGTGGGTATTTTGATGAAGGTATACACCAGATTCCTCCTCTATCTCTATAAGAATGTTATCTATTATCATTCTATTTTATATCTGATATATATCTTAGCAAAGATCTATGTATCTATGAGAGCATTGCTGCAGTATTTCATTGCCTCATTATGATCAAAAATCTATTACTATGACTACTAGACTTATTTATAGTATGGCATAGAGACCACATTGCTATGTTCTCTATTACAATCAGGATTAGATATCTGACTTGTCAAAGTAGTGCACCCAATTTTAGTGTTACCCTTTTGGAGGAAGCACACCCTCAAAACAGCAAAGAGTGGTTCGTTCAAGAACTAAATTAGAATAAAATGTTCTTCCTAACAACCTCAAAACTATAGTTCTGTTTCTGTTTCCATTTTAAATTCCCTTTTCTGATAGCGAGTCAAAGGAGAAATAACTTAGTAACAACTTTTTCACAGCCTCCATTCTGTAAACAGCAAATAGACGATAACTACAAGCTTGATTTTAATCAAGCAAACACAATCTTGGAATTCAATCTATCTCCTACTAAATTCATCTTCATTGAATAAAAAATCTATTTTTTTGGCTATGACATCTTACTATAATAAGCTAGCTCTTGTAGGGTAACAAGTTAGAGTGATCCATCCCGTGGTAATTTATTCTTCCCTAAGTTACATTATTTTCTTTAATAATTTTTTTTAAAGGATTTTTGGGGATGTATGATTATATCTTCACTTATAAATGTACTAGAAATAATTTCAGCTCTCCCATTGAGCACATGATAAATATAAAAAATTTTCCGTACTCATTTTCTTTTGAAAATAAGCCATGTAAATCTACATTGCCAAGTATTTTTGTAACAAGGATGTTAGCTGCTCTGCATGAGATCCTTGTTGAGTTCAATGATCTAGTACACTAAGAGCTCAATTTCTCCGAACAAGGAGGATTTAATTTCTCCAAGATGATCTTACATGGGGTTGGGGGTCCTTCCTTTAGTTCCGATGTGGGATTAAGGATTGGATCCTGCCCCATTAGGGTGATGATCTCCCTCTGTCGGATGATGTCATGCTCATGACATCATCCTCCATTGTTGAGTCCTTATCTTGGGTGTTGTGCTGCGTGCGGGTGCCGTGTCATGCGCAGACAATGTGCCACCCGTGGGTGTCGTGCTGCGCATGGGTGTTGTACTGTCTGTTGCCCCCGTGTTGTTGCACGCGATTGTCGCTCCGCTGTACGTAGGCACCATGTTGGTCTGCATAGTTGTCGTGTTGTGACAATAGTTGGTATGTGTTGCCAGTCCCTGGTAACATTTTCCCCCTTCGGTGAAGTCTGGCATCTTTGTCGGATGGTGTTATCAACATGCTTGGATTAGGTCCTCAAACTGTCATAGGTCCACCTCTTTTTCCCATGTTGTAGCCTCTCGAGGTTGTTCTGCCCATTGCACCAAATAGAATGTGTTGCGGTGTGCATGGTTACGTCCTCCTTTGTTGATGACTTGGTGATCTAAAATGGGAGCTGCTACTTGGTCAAAGTGTGTTTGTACCATTGGTGGGGGGTGGTGGGGCTGGTTATGCTCTAGGTAGTCCACATCTGCATAGTAAGCTTTTAGCAAGGAGATGTGAAATACCGGGTGGATTGGGAGTTGAGGGGGGAGTCGTAGACGATATGCCAGACATCCTATGTAGGTGATGATCTAGAAAGGCCCGTCAAATCTTATGACCAATCTGCTATGGCACTTTAGTCTTTGCAGACTCTTGTGGGTAGGGTAGATGCAGAGTAGTACCTAGTCCCCTACATCATATTCAACCTCTTGTTGGTGTCGATTGACATTTTTCTTCATCCACTGAACAACTCTAGCAAGAGCTTTGCGGGCTTCTTCTGGATGGTCATGATGGTTCTTAACAAACTAGTAGGTGGCTGGTAGATATCTTGGTCCCTATTGTTTCACCAATTCTAAAGGCGTCAATGGTTACCTCTCCGTAGTAAGTTCAAATGGGGAGTGTCTAGTGGAGACACATTGCTGGATGTTATGGGCAAATTTGCACAACGTCCAAGAGCTCCACCCAATTGTCTTACCTAGTGGTAATATAATGTCTCAATTAATCTTTTAGTATGCCATTGACTCTCTCTTTTAATTTATTAGTCTACAAGTGGAATGTTGTGGAGAAACTTAGTTCGGTACCCAAGAAGGTGAAGAGAGCTAACCAAAATCTCCTAGTGAACTGGGGGTCACGATCCAAGACAATGTCCCATGGGAGGCCCAGCCGCTTCTACTTTACACTCCAATCAAGTTGGTATAAATGTGACATATTTAGAGAACTTGTCGACCACCACCAAGATGGTGTCCAAACCCCCCACCCGTGGTAGTCATATGATGAAGTCCATTGATAGGAATCCCCATAGTCCTTCTAGGATGGATAATAGCACCAATGTTCCGATTGAGTAGTGTCGCTCTACTTTATCCTATTGACATATAAAATAAGAGCAGACGTATGATTTCACATCCCGCTCCATGTTCGGCCAATAGTAACTTCCTGATAGGAGGGCTAGTGTCCTCTATTGTCTCGAGTGTCTAGCAAGGGGCGCATCATGTGTCTCCCGAAGTAGCCGATGTCGGAGTTGCCCCCCTTATGAGAGAAAAGATTATTGGCCCTTTGTATAAAAGATGCCTTCTTCCATCCAGAAACGACATGTTTTGCGTAACTCTATCTATTGGATTAGTTGTTTAGCTGTGGAGTCTATGGTATATGATGCTCGAATCTCATCCAAAAAGTCCCCTGTACTTGTCGAGAGTGTAGTTGCTTCTGCTATGGCTCCTTGATGGCTCAATGCGTTGGTGACCACGTTGATTTGTCCCAATTTATATTTGAGTGCGAAGTTGTACTCTACTAAGAAGTCCTACCATCTTGCTTGTTTTGGTGATAATTTCTTCTGGGAGTTGAAACAACTTGTTGCTATATTATCGGTGTAGATTGTGAAGTATTGACCAAGTAAGTAGTGTCTCTATATGTATAAGCAATGGATCACTACCGTCATCTTTTTCTCATGCACCGAGTACCGTTGTTTTGTGTCATTTAGCTTCCTCCCTTCAAAAGTCACTAGGTGCTCATTCTACATCAACACCCTTCCGATGGTCATTTCTGAAGCATCTGTATATACTTCAAACAGTTTATTAAAGTTTGAGAGCTATAAGATTGGTTCTTACATGATTGTTAACCAAAGGTCATCAAATGCCTATTGACATTCATTTGACCATTTTCATTTCTGATCTTTCTTGAGGAGTCTTGTTAGTAGGGCCCTTATGTGATAGAAGCTCTTGATAAACTTGCAATAATAGTTAGCCAATCTTAGGAATGATCGTAATTCCAGCACTCCTTTTTAGTTCAGGCCATTCTTTGATTGCTAACACCTTCTTATGATCTATGTATACTTTTTCACTTTCGATCACATGACCTAGGAATTCCACCTCTTTCATGACAAAGATGGATTTAGAAGGGTTCAAATATAATTGATGACATTTTAGTGTCTCCAATATTTGACGTAAGTGCAATATATTCTTTTAAATTACAACTGTACACTAAGATGTCATCAAGGTAGACCACTGCAAACTTGTCTAAAAAGGGTCAAAAGATATGATTCATTAAAGTACAGAATGTTGTTGGAGCATTAGTCAACCCAAACAAGATGACTATAAATTCATATGATCTATATTGTGTGACACAAGCCGTTTTTTGCTCATCCCATTCTAGGATGCAAACTTGATGATATCTACTTTTCAAATCTAGTTTTAAGAATATTCTCACTACTCCCAACTTGTTGAACAAGTCTTCTGCATTAGGAACTGAGTACTTGTTCTTTATTGTCATCTTATTCAAGGCTTTATAATCCACACAAAGTCTCAACATTTCGTCTTTCTTCTGTTGAAAGAGAACAGGAACCCCAAATGGTGCATGTGAGGGCCGTATATGTCCTACCTCTAGTGGTTCTTCCAGTTGTTTCCTTAGTTCTAAGTGGGCTAGAGGCATCTTGTATGGGGCTCTAGCTGGTGAGTTCTCTTAGTAACAATTCAATTGCATGTTCTATGTCTCACTTGGGTGGTAATTTAGCAAGTAATTTATGTAGCATGATGTCATAGAATTCATTAAGTAATGGTAATACTTGTGGATGTCCCCTCTTCTAACCTTCTTCCCTAGCTTCTTGTAGAGTGACAAAAAATGTCTTCGCCTCGTGCTGCAATTGATTTTTCAGCTGCATGGTTGAGATGGTTTGTGGTCTTACTACCTCTTGAGTGGTCCCTTATACAAAACAAGAATGTTTCCTTCTGCATATCAAGTCATTATAGTGGAGGAATATTCCTGCCTTTGTTGTGGTTGTGAAGTTAGCCCCAAAGATGACATCAAAATTATCCATCCGTAATACTAGGAAGTCCAACTGGTCTTCCCATGTACCTATCTCTATCTTCACTTGTTGGGCTAGTCCCACTGAGGTTTAAGCTTCAGAGTTGATAGCCTTGATCTTGTTGTTGGTACAGACCAGGCTCAACTTGAGGCGGTGGGCTTCTTTTTCTGATAGAAAGTTGTGGGTGACCCCCAAGTCCACCAATGCTTTTGTCAAAGTAGAGTTGATAATCACCTTTACGAAGAGTAGTTTCCTAGGACCCTCCTGTATGGCTTTCACTTGTATCACATTAAGAAGTTGAATGGTGTTTAGATTTGGTACCTCTTCGATTATTAGTGGCAGCTATGTCGATTGGCTCAAGTGAGACAATTTACACTCTAGTGAGGGCCACCACATGTGGCACCCTATCCACTTGGGTCCCTCAATTTGTAAAGGAATCTCATTCCAACTTGGATTGTGGTTGCCTTGACCCACTCCCGTCTAGGATGGTCCTCCTCGTCCCCGGTTGGTATTATGACCTCGACTCCCTTGAGATGTGTCATTATTGCTATCTACTTGTTAGCATCAGTTGTATATTAGTCTGTCTACCACCATCATTGTTCCTCAAATGTCATGGAACCCTTGTCTTTGGATTTCATTTTGAGCCCATATTTGGAGTCCTTCCATGAAATAATGAAGCTTATCTTCCTCGTCCATCCGAGGTACTTCCAACACTAGCATAGAAAATTTCTCCACATATTCTTAGATGGACCCGGTGTGGTTGAGTTAGTTGTCTCATCACGATTTAGGTAGTTTGGCTTGAGTTCGCCAAACGAAACTGGTCCCAAAGTTTACGCATAAATTCCTCACAGTCAGTCATTGGTGGTCTTGAGTAGTCTTCCATTCAGAGCCTCCACCAAGTCTTTGCATGCTCGGTGAGGAATAGGCTGCCCACAAACACTTTCTCTTCTTTTGAGGTAGTGTTAGAGTTGACATACCTCTGTAGATCCTAGATGAAGTTCTCAATTAGCATAGCATCTCGTTTTGCACGAGATCCTTGTTAAGTTCAATGATCTAGTACACTAAGAGCTCAATTTCTCCAAACAGAGAGGATCTAGATTTCTCCAAGATGATCTTACATGGGGTCGGAGGTCTTTCTTTAAATAAGGTCCCTTGGTGGGTCCTCCCTTTAGTTCCGATGTGGGATTAAGGTTTGGATCCCACCCCTTTAGGGTGATGATTGACGTGACTCAGTCGTTGTATATTAAATCACGCAAATATAAAATTTATAAAACTAGAAAATACAAATTTTCAGATATTTAGAAGTATTTCTAAATAAATATATCAATTATAATTCAATAAAAATTCCAAAAATAGCGGTAATTTCTCAGGTCGATCACAGGGATGTAATATAATATTTTGTAATTATTCAGATTTTTTCTCAATGAATACGATTTTCTATGAATTTTATACTAGGAAATAAGAAGGAAATATATTTAAAATTCACGAAAAAAAAGGAAATAAGGGTGCGGACGTCAGGATGACGTCAGCGCCCGGCGAACGCGAATCGGGCAGAAACAGAGTTCCGCCCGGTGATTCTTACGTAAGCGATTACAAACGATTTAATTAATCAAATTAAGATCTGTAAAAGCCAGAAGAATCGTAATAGAACAAAGTATATTTTGGTAAATTAAAATCACAAAAACTATCACTAAATGAAGCGTAAAGTAAGTTGAAAGCAAGAAAACAGAGTTCCGGCGTCGCGACGGCGATGCGTCGGCGATGCACCGGAATCCTGAGCATTCGGGAGGATCGTTGTGCAGTGTCCACGGCTTCAAAGGCTCTCCTTGGACAAAGACGACGTGGGCAATCTCTAGATCTTCTCGCGAAGTCTAGAGATCAATGAAATGGGTCGCTGAGTCGTCTCCGGCGGCTGTCACCCGGCGGAGCAGAAAAACGGCGACTTTGTGGCTCTCCGGTGGCTGTCACCTGACGGAGAAGAGCTGGATGGAGGTGGGGCGCGTGTCAGTGAGCTTCATCCTCAGGTCCGCGCAGCAAGAGGAGGTCGCATCTGGTACGCTCTCAGGAGGTGGCGACTCGTCTCCCGGCAGATCGTCCTCTTCCCGACGACGGCTTGTTCGTCGATCAATCGGAGATGATTTACTCGATGGATTGCGATCCTTTTATCGCGAATCATTCAGCAATTTTAGTAGCAACGCTCCGTGAATCGCATTGACGAGATTTTCGCCGATGATCCAGCGATTCTGGTTACTTAATCCTTCACCGGCGATCTGTAGGAAAGTCGCGATAATCAGATAAAAAGATATGAATTTTGACTCTAGGAGGATTCGAACCCGCGCTGGTCGCCTGCCTGTGAGGAAGGTGTGACGCGGGTTTAGTCCCATATTGGTTGTGCGCCGATTTTTCGGGCGAATATATAGTAATGTTAGCTTCGGAAGCAAAGTCACTTCTCTTGCGTGTATGACCACTCCTTGCCCCACAGCCGGCTGGCCACCGGTGACGTGGAAGGGGAGTGGCGCACACGTGCCCCTATCGGTCCAAGCTAAGCCGCTCGAGTCCCTGCTCGCGGCTACTCCCGACTGCGCTTCCGACCCGCTTGCGGGCCCGGCTGGCCGGCGGGTCCCCCCATTTTACAATATTTTTATTTTTATTTCTTGTTCTTCATTTATCTGAAAAGTAAGACTGTAAAAATCGTATAAAATCACATAATTACCCAAAAATTCACGTTAATCAACTGAAAACCACTTTTCACACTTTAACACAAATATAAGTCTATTTATCATGAGTTAAGGCTAAAACTATATTATTTACTAATTATTAACTCATGATAATGAAGACTTATCACACCCCCCAACTTAAATCATTGCTAGTCCCTTAGCAATGGAATTACGAAAATAAAAATTTACAAATTTCAAACATCATATTTCAATACAAAAAAAATAAAAATACAATTAGAAATGATGCACCTTTAGACACTTTGGACTCTTATATCAAGTCTTTAAGAATAATGTCAAGCACTTAAATGTTTAAACACTCCTTGGAATAACAATCTAGACTTCACTTCTTCTATTCACATCTTTATCACTTCTTCACTCATAGATATATTTACAAGATGTTCCAATTATCAATACTCATCCAAGAATAATATTGATCCTACATTTCCCTTTTTCTATGGCTTGATTGTTTGAAGTTTGCACTATATTTCTTCTTTCTCTTTTTATTTTATATATATATATAGTGGATAAGTAGCTTTTCCTGTAGACAAATTTCGACAATAAGAATGATGTCTCACACCCTCCATGTGTACTCTTCATTTTCAGGGCTTTCACTTTATCCATTTATTTTGCAGCAAGTGTTTTTCTATGCACGATTTTCGACAATGAGAATGATGTCTCACACCCTCTATGTGTACTCTTCGTTTCTAGATTTTTCACATTGCTCTCTCTCTTTTTTTTTTGAAATAAGTGATTTCTCCTCACAAGTCCTATAGATCAGGGTGCAAAAATCAATATTAAACTCAAATGATCAATCAAATTTTCACATCACGTAAATATTATTCATCAAGATCATGAAGTGAAAATCTGTAAAATCAAATCCATGTTATCTATCATGTATCCAAGGAGTATTCCAACATTTCATGCTACTAGATCATTCTTTTGATTCAATAATAATCTTCCTAGTATCTTTTGGTATCAATCAATCTAATTGATTTAATTTTTCATGCATGCAATATGATGTAAGAGATTTGTAAATTAGATAGTTCTGACAGTTCTGTTTTCTATTTTCAGTTCTATTTTTAGCAGCAATAAATTTGTCAAAAATAAATCAAAACTATCCTCTTTATAGCTGTAATTTCGAATTTCAGTAATATATATCTAGGGGATTGAAATGTGAGAAAAGGGTCTTCTAGAATTTCAAATTTCGGGTTGTTTTTTGTCTGCTGTTTTTGACAATCTGTTGTTTCTGACAGAAAACCAGAAAATAGATGTTGCAATTTTTCCGAATTCGGCGATCTTTTTTTTTATTTTTTTAGTTGCTGTTCTAAGTTGAATAAATGCAAACACATGTTCTTAATCGTCCTACAGCATAAATTAATAATGAATACTTCACCCCCCAACTTAAAAATGACATTGTACTCAATGACACAGAAAAATCGAAACAGAATATGCAGAAAATATAATTTTCAAGTGAAGCATGCATATATGCAAAGTTTAGCATTAAAAATGTTGTCATAAATGATAAAGCTCCGAAAGACATCACCTCAACCTCGTTTTTAATTTTCACTTCGTCTTACACGTGTCCTCCTGCACTTTTTCGAAAAAACAAATACAAAAACAAGTACTGCAAAATTCTAAGAAAAGTAGAGCTAAAAAAAAAAAATTAAACAAAATGAAATAAAAACCATGGGTTGCCTCCCATGGAGTGCTGAATTTAATCTCTTCAGCTGGACAGCTCTTAGATCATATAAGATGATCTATGGCCATCAAAATATATTTGTATCCCAAGGTAAGTTTCATGATATTCTTTTTCAAATTTAGCATAAATTCATATACTTCATATATATACCTTGACATACTTTCAGCCAAAATAAGATGGAAATTAACAAAATTTTCCCAAAAATAATATTTCCATTTTGAAAAGAATCTTTTCTCATTTCTATCTTGTTTTGTAAGGCTCTCATTCATTAATAAATACTTCCTATTAATAGACCATAAAATGTGATCAGGCCATATAATTTTCGAATTAGCTCTTACCCAATCTAAATTTTTTTCATCTAAATTGATATCTCTAATTCTTCCACTCACCCATTTCTTAATGTCTTCTTTTATCTGCATAATCTTCCCCTGCTCCATTTTATCTTCCATACATATTTGTTCAATTTGTGAGGAGTGAAATATTTCAAGCTTAGAAGTAATTCTAATGGGCTGTGGATTTTGAAGGATGGAAGGATTGTCTTCTTTAATCTCAGATCTAATGAATTCAGTAAAATTCAAATTTTCTCCTCCAAAATTATCTCTATATTCATATTCATTATTTTCGTTTCTCCCCATTAGTTGAATCAACTCTTTTTCTAGTTTTTCGTTTGTCAACTCATCAAATTCTTCATCTTCCCAAGAGCTATCTTTTAATTTCGGTATATGATATACATCATCCTCCTCACTATCAACATCCATGGCTGCAAAATTATGATTAGATTTATTAATTTCGTCTCCTACATCAACTGATTTTTCCTCACCTGAAATATGTTTTTCTTCATTTCTGTCCATACTCCCTTCTACTAAAATTTGGATGATTTTTTCATGATCAGCTGCTGTTTCTTCATCTAAGGGCTCTTTCTCCTCATCATCCTCACTATATTCATTCATCAATTGTGAGCAATAAATTATTTTATTCAAATTTTCTGCTACTATATTTTCAGCATTAATATTCTCATTTACTTCTAATGGCTCATCGATTTCTTCTAATAATTGGAAATAAGGATCAAGTAAAATATTCTCACTCAATGTATTCACTGACCTAACATTTTCATTTCGTGGGTTTTTTTCTAAATTTATCCAGCTAGACTCTCCTTGCTGAAATCTTACTGTTGGACAGTTTCCTGAATTTTCTATGGGCGGACTAGGTGACTGTCCCTCTTCTCTCTTATTCCCAAGAGCCTCTATAATTTGTTTCTGGTGCAGCATCATTTGGTTCATAGTTTGTTGTATCATTTGGCTCATTTGCTGCATCATTTCTATAGTATCATGTTGGGTTTGAGAGGGCTGATTTTTCTGAAATCTGTTTTCTTGTTTTTGACGAAATTCAGAGTTTGAATTAGATCTAAGTGCTTCTAGATTTTGAATATTATTTGGGTTTCTCCACGAAAAATTATTCCCCCAATTAGGATTATAAGAATTAGAAAAATATTCCCTATTTTTACTAAAATCGTGGGGTACCTACACTTGTTCTTGCCTAGGATGATATTGAAATTCGAAATGATCATTTTCACCATACATAGGATCTGTACTATTTGAATTAAATTGAGGGTTAAGAGGCTTTCTAATATTGTCAATAAGAAAATCAAGTTTTTCTAATCTTTGATTAATCTGATTAACCTCATTTCTAAGTTTAGATTCATTATCATGATGCAATTCATGAATTCCTCTCTTCTTATCCCTATCATATAATTCAAAAGAGGCTTGATCTCTAGAATTTTCACTTAAATTCTCATAAAGACTGTAAATCTCATCAGGGGTTTTCTCCATAAAAGCTCCTCCACATATAGAATCAATCATATTTCTATGTTGTTCTAATAATCCATCATAAAAAATTCTATTGAGCTGCCACTTGGGTATAACATGCTGAGGACATTTTCTAAGTAAATCTTTAAATGTTTCCCATGTCTCATGTAAAGTTTCTCCTGGTCTTTGAGAAAAATTCCATATATGTTTTCTCATATTTTGAGTTTTTCCTAAGGGATAAAATTTTCGAAGAAATGCCTGTTCTATGTCTTTCCAGCTAGTTAATTCTCTATCTAATGTGGATAGCCAATGGCTAGCTTTGTCCCTAAGTGTATGAGGGAATAATTTCATCTTAATAATTTCCGGTGTAACTTGAGGGAGATTAACTAAATCACAGACCATATGAAATTTTTCTAAGTGCTGATGAGGTTCCTCTAAAGGCAATCCATGAAAATTAGGGAGCATTTGAAAAATTCCTGGATTTATTTCGAATTTAACATTGGGTGCTAATGGGACTCTAATATTGGATGCTCTTTGAAATGAATCAGGGATATAATAATTTTTCATGGCCATAAGATTTTTCTCAGTTTGACCTGTACTTTCTTCAGGATCTATCAAAATTAATTTTTCTTTCAGATTTTTAGTTTTGAATGAAATAATGAAAGGATTTTCTAGCCTTGGATGCAAGGATCTTCTACCATACATAAAAATCAATAAATTCGAGGGAAAAATTTAGTAATTGTTACCCTCCTTTAGGATGCTCTAGTCCTTGCCTTGCTTCTTTTCGTTCCCTAAAAAAAATCGGCAAAAAGAAAATAAAACAAGAGTTAAATTTTTTTTGTGTACTCTAAGAGAAAAATAGAAAAATACTAAATATTATGCAATACATCCCCGGCAACGGCGCCAAAATTTGACGTGACTCAGTCGTTGTATATTAAATCACGTAAATATAAAATTTATAAAACTAGAAAATACAAATTTTCGGATATTTAGAAGTATTTCTAAATAAATATATCAATTATAATTCAATAAAAATTCCAAAAATAGCGGTAATTTCCCAGGTCGATCACAGGGATGTAATATAATATTTTGTAATTATTCAGATTTTTTCTCAATGAATACGATTTTCTATGAATTTTATACTAGGAAATAAGAAGGAAATATATTTAAAATTCACGACAAAAAAGGAAATAAGGGTGCGGACGTCAGGATGACGTCAGCGCCCGGCGAACGCGAATCGGGCGAAAACAGAGTTCCGCCCGACGATTCTTACGTAAGCGATTATAAACGATTTAATTAATCAAATTAAGATCTGTAAAAGCCGGAAGAATCGTAATAGAACAAAGTATATTTTGGTAAATTAAAATCACAAAAACTATTACTAAATGAAGCGTAAAGTAAGTTGAAAGCAAGAAAACAGAGTTCCGGCGTCGCGACGGCGATGCGTCGGCGATGCACCGGAATCCTAAGCATTTGGGAGGATCGTTGTGCAGTGTCCACGGCCTCGAAGGCTCTCCTTGGACAAAGACGACGTGGGCAATCTCTAGATCTTCTCGCGAAGTCTAGAGATCAATGAAATGGGTCGCTGAGTCGTCTCCGGCGGCTGTCACCCGGCGGAGCCGAAAAATGGCGACTTTGCGGCTCTCCGGCGGCTGTCACCCGACAGAGAGGAGCTGGATGGAGGTGGGGCGCGTGTCAGGGAGCTTCATCCTCAGGTCTGTGCAGCAAGAGGAGGCTCTTCATCGCATCTGGTACGCTCTCAGGAGGTGGCGACTCGTCTCCCGGCAGATCGTCCTCTTCCCGACGACGGCTTGTTCGTCGATCAATCGGAGATGATTTACTCGATGGATTCACGATCCTTTTATCGCGAATCATTCAGCAATTTTAGTAGCAATGCTCCGTGAATCGCGTTGACGAGATTTTCGCCGATGATCCAGCGATTCTGGTTGCTTAATCTTTCACCGGCGATCTGCAGGAAAGTCGCGATAATCAGATAAAAAGATATGAATTTTGACTCTAGGAGGATTCGAACCCGCGCTGGTCGCCCGCCTGTGAGGAAGGTGTGACGCGGGTTTAGTCCCATATTGGTTGTGCGCCGATTTTTCGGGCGAATATATAGTAATGTTAGCTTCGGAAGCAAAGTCACTTCTCTTGCGTGTATGACCACTCCTTGCCCCACAGCCGGCTGGCCACCGGTGACGTGGAAGGGGAGTGGCGCACACGTGCCCCTATCGGTCCAAGCTAAGCCGCTCGAGTCCCTACTCGCGGCTACTCCCGACTGCGCTTCCGACCCGCTTGCGGGCCCGGCTGGCCGGCGGGTCCCCCCATTTTACAATATTTTTATTTTTATTTCTTGTTCTTCATTTATCTGAAAAGTAAGACTGTAAAAATCGTATAAAATCACATAATTACCCAAAAATTCACGTTAATCAACTGAAAACCACTTTTCACACTTTAACACAAATATAAGTCTATTTATCATGAGTTAAGGCTAAAACTATATTATTTACTAATTATTAACTCATGATAATGAAGACTTATCAATGATCTCCCTCTATTGGATGATGTTATGCTTGTGATGTCATCTTCCATTGTTGAGTCCTTGTCTCGAGTGTTGTGCCACGTGCAGGCACCATGCTGCATGTGGGTGCCGTGCTGTGTGTGGGCGACATGTCACCCATGGGTGTCATGCCGTGCATGGGCACTATGCTACTTGTTGCCCCCATGTTGTTGCATGTGGTTGTCGCCCCGCTATGCATAGGCACCATGCCAGTCCGCGCAGCTGTCGTGCTGTGATGAGGGTTGGTCTGTGTTGCTGGTCCCTAGTAACAATTTCACTTGGGCCTACTTATAAAGAAGAGAAACAAATAGAAAGTACCCCATAAGTAACCATGCTTACTGGTGAGAAAAAAAGATAAAAAATTAACACGCCTATTTTGTGTATCTATACACCTTAGTAAATGAGAAAAATCTTAGTTGCAACTTCACTCTAGGCCTTGAAAGTTTGGGATTTCCTACAATTCTTCATGAAAGATTTGACTAAATAAATATAAGCAGCAGTGCACTCTACGTACTTCCTTCAGGGAAGCACGAGTGATGTTTAAAAAAATGTGTTAATATGGCAATGATTGGATGGTCTTTGTTTGAAATTAGCTCCATATACTCTAGGCTTTGCCCAAAATGAAGTCTGGATAGAAAGCTAAGTGAACCTACCCAAGTCTTTATTTTATGATTCTAATTTGAAATTGCATAATCGCCTGTGCAGAAGTTTCTCTGTATGTCTTTTGCTTGCTCGCTCGTTAGTTCATATATATGGAAGACGGTTGAGTTCTAGTAAAGTCTAAACCAGGCTCTGAGCCTTAGGTGACATACATCGAATGATCACCTCTTGACGCATAGTTCTGGGTTCATGTAGTCTTGGTCCAACTTATTGGCACCTCTGAATTTTTCATGATTCTAAATTTCGTTGTTCCAGTTTCAAGGGTGGAAGTAAAAACATTTGATTGCGGCTCTCTTATTTTATTCCTTTGGTCATTAATAGGAAGTTAAGTCACATAATCCTGTCGTTATTCAATAATTACATTAGGTATATACATATATATATATATATATATATTAACGGAGATTCTATTGATGGCTGATCAGCATATACAGCGTTTTGATCTTTCTTCTGGTACGGATAGATTTGGGGCAGGAGGGGGGAGGCTGAACTCCGCCACCTTGTATGTGGTGGACCCAGCTGAGCGTATCCCCATGGATTGTGTCATCGAGAGTATGGGCTTCTCCATTGGCTGGGAGAACGTTTACCTTTGGCCGTTGGCTGTAAGTGGCCGTCTGCGCACCTTCCTTCAATTGGGCCCTTAAATGTTTAGGGTTTCATGGGCTTCATCATTAGATATATTTGTATCTTAAGTCATTAGAAAAATAAAAACCCCCTAACCTTTTTGTTCACTCATGGCCAGATGAAACAAAATAGTTATCAGGTCATAAGTGTTAACATGTTGCAGTAGGAATGAATGTATGTGATCACTAAGGTCTAACATCAATATTTCTCCACAGACCATTTTAAAAACTAAAACTAAAATTATAAACTAAAAGACGATGGTGCCTAAGCTTACGTTGGATAGTATTTTCCATTAGGATATGTACATTGCGTGACTATTTAAAAACCACATTCAATATGACGACCAACACGTAAATGAGGTAAAGCGCAAGCCTTCACCCCACACCCTTCGAAGCCTATTAACAAATCTGACATTTGTTGACCGTGTCTTCGAATCTTTTAAATACAATATTACCATGCTTTAATCAGAATTATCCAACAGAAAGATCATCTGCCTCAGAATTATTAAATTTTCTGTGAAGTCCCTTTTCTAAGTAGAAATAAAAATATTAGAAAATTTATTGGTAAAGAGTGGAAGTATGAAACTTACTTAGATGATCATTGGCCTTGTCGACAGGTCAAGCTTCAGGAAACCAAGCAATGCTAGCTGATCATGCCACACGCACGCTGGCGTATCTAGTGTAATAAGTTCATACGATGCCGACGACGATGGGGCTACTGACGTTGTGAACTCCGTCTGACCATGTTAAAACCCCATAGACATATCTGCTGGCCTGAGGCCCGGTCACCGCTTCTATTGTGACCTTGAAGGCCTCCTCCTGGCCGTACTTGTTGAAGACTAGGGTTGCCGGGGTCACGTTTACCAAGGTGCCGGATGGCGCAGTCACCTGTGCCGTGTATGTGCCCGGCGAGCCGACGTTCTTCACCTTCCTAGTAACGATCGTGGGAGCGGAAAGTCGCGGTACGCTGATGGAGGGGTAGTTGAGGTCGAGGAGTCGGGGAGGAATCGGCGGACAGGCGAAGGGCGCCCCGTAGAAGGTGGCGACCTGCCCGGAGGTGTACCTCAGCGCGCAGAGGAACATGAGGTAGTCCTCCATTGTGAGGTCGTAGACAAGGCCGGGATCCATGGCGAGGTTCGGGCGGACGTGCCCACTGCCGTAGCTGAATGGGGTGGCAGTCAAGAAAAAGGAATCGAGTATGGGCTTCCCAAGGTTATCATCTGTCGTCGCTGCAGCCGAGTTGACAGCAACAGATCCAGATCAGTCATTGAAAATTTGGACAACCTTTCTTTCAGCGCAGACTCGAAACTTACCGGTAGTCATGATGGCAGACTTGATCGCCGCCGGGCTCCAGTCGGGGTGGAGGGTTTTGAGGAGTCCGGCGACCCCGGAGATGTGAGGGCAGGACATCGACGTTCCCGACAATACGTTGAATCGAACCCGGCGGTCGTCGAAGAAGTTATCAGATGGTCCTACTGCTTCGGTGAAGGCAGCGAGAACGCTCACGCCTGGAGCAGTGATATCGGGCTGCAAGCCATTCAATGCACAGATCGGAACGGGGAAATGAGTTTACGTATTGCCTTTTCATCAGTTCTAGGGAAGGGGGATGGTAGAAGGGAAAGAGAGATAGATAGATAGATAGATGGATAGAGAGATAGATTGATACACAGATAAAGAGAGAGGGAACCTTAAGGATCTCGGGGTCGACAGGATTAGGCCCTCGGGATGAGAAGTAGGCCATGAAAGGCGCCGGCTTGGTGCCCACCACTGTGGTAGGTGGAATGATGCGGGCGACAGGGTTCCTGGAAACAAGGTGATGGATCAATCCTAGGTCTTCAACAAACGATCTAGTCAAATTCGGTAATATAGATGTCAATACTTCAATTTAATCAGCTGAACAACTCTAGTTGCAGTTTGAAACAAAGGTTTTTGCAAATCAAGTGCGAACTGCTAGGTATATGCGAGTTAAAAAATAGAAACACTACTGTTAATACCGAAATAACAAATAGCATTGGTGAAATAAAGGAAAAACGGGAATATTCTCATGTTGTTCAGAATTTATGGTGCTAAATCCAAAGTGAATAATCGAAACAAGACAAGGTTTCAATCGTACTCAAAATATAAACCAACATCTTGACGTCAAGTCCGTAAACCTGCTTGGGAGGATTCAACCAAGTGCATGGCGATCCAAGTTAGATCTTGAAAAGGGAAGATTTTCTAGAAATTTACTATAATTGGACAATTCTACGTCGATTCTAGCGGACCTTGTCCATTTTACTTCCAGTGTTCTATAATTGTATCGTTGGGTTTTGATGTGGCTTGCGAGTACTCAATTTCATGCCGTTTTGAGAGGTAGAGGAAGTGTTAGGACAGATTAGACAGAAAGAGAGAGATGAAGGATTCCCGAGGGGGGGGGTTCGTGGTCTGGTTTGGTTCGTGAGGCATCATTCAGGGGAGCGATTCTTGCTAGCGTTCAGTTGTGGCTGGTATAGAAGATTGACTGATTACTTACGTGGAAGAGTTGATGTAGTTGTCGAGAAAGAGGCTGTTGCCATATGATAACTCTACGGCGGGGAGGACGTGAGGGTTGGCGGGGACATGGTTCCCCAGGGTGGCAGGGCTTGTGACGATCACCCCGACGCCGCCGGCGAGGAGCACCGTCTGGCCTTTCTCCACGCTCGAGACGTTCCCAAATCGGCAGGCCACGATCTTTCCTTTCACTTTCTCTGGATCCAACGAGCCCAAGAAGCAGAGCCGCCTGAGAGGTATCCAAAGATCATTCAGTCGGAGGTGTACGCCATCAATGATGGAAGAAGCGGGTGGTCGATCTTACGCCTCGTCCGGGGTAGAATTGCCAGCTCGAGCGTCGGTACCGCTGATCAGAGGATAGGAAAGGTTCGCCGGGAGACTGGAGGTGGAAAGGCTCTGCCCCTGAAGGAAGGACGCATGAACGGAGAAAACGACGGAGTGAGCTTCAAGAAGACTATCAAGGAACGTAGAACTGAGGGACGATTCTAAGGGTGGGTGAACCTTCAGTTGTACCCCGTTTCCGAGGATAGCGTAGGAGATGAACTCCCGATCCATGGTGCTTGCTCCAACAGTGAGGATCCATGGCGCGACGTTCCTCACAGTTCCCCAGCTGGGACCCGTGTTGCCGCCGGAGCACACCACGGTGATCCCGTTCTTCACGGCGTGGAACGACCCGATAGCGAGCCCATCGCTACTGTAGTTCTCGGCTCTCTGGCCAATGGATACCGAGAGCACGTCTACGCCGTCTTCAATGGCTTGATCAAAGGCGGCCAGGATGTCAGCGTCGAAGCAGCCTCCGTCATCTATGGGTTCCCAGCACACCTTGTACGCCGCCACCCGGGCGCTGGGTGCCCCGCCCTTGGCAGTGCCGTTGCCGAAGCCGAGGATACTGGCATCCGGCACGAACCGGCCGGCGGCGGTGGAAAGGGTGTGGGTACCGTGGCCATTAGTGTCGCGGGAGGTGATCTGGCTGGCGGTTAACGTTCCCCCGGCAGCAACATATCCCTTGTTGAAGAACCGGGCCCCGATCAGCTTCCTAAGTCAAGGAAATCACATCGTTCGTCGATCTTATTGACGGAAACACGAAAACATCAACACCAAATCCACAATTTTCTTTCAATGATCTGATTCGGCCCTATCTTTAATCGAAATTATCTTTACAGGAAAGCATTGGTGACTGTGTCCACGGTCGCACTGGCCCACACTGTGGGAAGAGCAACCGCGTGGCGATGGATGGATGGAGACAAAACTATGGTCGAACCAGTGACGGTGACTAGCCACCTATTACAAGTTCCCATTGAAATCTTCTATCGTTAGTTTATGCATGGCCGGTGATGGAGATGTTGATGGCCACGTTGACGACGATGCTGCTTGGGTGTAATGGCAAAGATCGAGTCGTAACCGGAGGGAAGACCTTTCCAGGAGTCGTTGAGTATACCTATTGCAGTGGATAGGATCGCTGGGGCCGCTCTCGCAGGTCCCCTTCCACCTCGACGGGATGGGCCCCAAGCCCTCGTCGTTGAAGCTTGCCGACTCCGGCCATACCCCTACGCGAAATCCGGTGAGGAACCAAGTAGAAGAGATAAGGTTTGTGCCTTCTTTATGGAACCAAGAGAGAGGTAAATACAGAGAGAGAGAGAGAGAATAAGGCGGGTAAAGCAAGGCGAGAAGAGAAAAGGTTGGGGTGGATTACCAGTGTCGAGATTCCCGATGATTGTGTCCTCCCCCAGCCTCGCCTTCCTCCATATGGAGTCCTCATAGACAGTCCCTTCGTTTTCCAGGCCTAGGAATTCCCATGAGCGCGTCGTGTGCAGCTCGTGCTTCTTGTTGGGGAACACAGCCATGACCCCTGGTGACTCTATAAATATCCAAAGGGAAGGATGATTAACCTGCCGCAGTTCAAAGCTGCCAACGAAAAGAGAAGGATGAGGCCGGTAGAAGAGTCCAACTAGATATCTCTATCGCCTCTTCCTCCTCCAGATGTGCGGCGAACCCATTGATGTGCCTCGTGTAGGAGTAGAAGATAGCGTCTCGGGCCTTCTCCCTGCTGCAACATCAATCGATACCCGACGATTGGGTAAGATTAACTATAAGAGCGCTGGTTTGGAGGGAGAACATGTGTATAAGTGTGGAAAGAAAGTTCAGTTACCTGCCCACGAAGGATTCCAGGAACTCGTGGTGCGATGCTGTGACCACATCCGCCTTTATCAGGGACACCTCTTCCCGGCTGTGAAGATGGCCCCCCATATACACAACATATGACTGCATTGGAGAAACAAGAAACCCATCAATAGAGGGATTGATGAGTAGGCTCGAGGACAGAAAAAAAACAAAAACAGGAAGACCAGATCAGTCTTACTTGCCTTCCTGACGGCGGAGCTGGGTGTCTGCAACAGTGCACAGACAAGGAACCATAGAAGTGAGAGAGGGACCTTCCGAGGGGAAGAACCCATTTGGAGGACTCCCGTTCTCCTCTTCTGTCCTCCTCTCCCGTCCTCTGCTCCGTTCGGCCCACAGATGGGAGAGCGGATACCTACATCTTTCTGCTTCGTGAGGGGGAAAACCCTGGAAATATTTGGTTTAAATTCCGCACAGGCCAACGATTACATATTAGGACAGGCTCCGTCCGTCCTCAACAACATCACGACGTCCCGAAGTCAACCAAGAGGAGAAAAGGAAACAGAGACTAACGCCACAAAGAGAAAATGGCGCATCTGCCACGGCCTCTCGTTTGGCGAACTCCCTTTGTCATTTCACGAATCTGTCCTTCCTCGTCGCAGTACGACATCTCAAGCGCCAATTAAGCACGACATCTCACACGCCAAGTGAAGTCTTTGAATGGCACGCTAGTGGCAGCCAAAATAGTCAACGAAGGCGGGCTGCTACGCGTCTCTCGCAGGTTGCTTTCCACCTCGATAGATCACAATCCAGATTGTCCGTTAGGGAAACCGGAGATTGACGGATGAAAAACGTTTTCACAAATATAGATGCAAAGAAATTGAGGTAGGGCGTCAATTGGTCAAGTCCTTAGCCGTCGGTTCAAATAGATACATAAAAAGGGTGAGTCCGGAGATTGTAAGTGAAAGAGGGTTGAGAATGGTGAGTCAGTACTGCGAATCCGGACCTTCTCGGGGTTTTTTTTCTGGGGCCCAAAATGCTCGCGAACATCTTGGAAGCAACCTTTGGTATGATCTAATTTTGGCAGGTTAAGAATTGAAGTGTTATGGCTCGATTTTATCTCACGAAATAGCTAAACATCTTGAATCCTAGAAAAATTCAGCGATCACCACAACCTTTATATGCGTCTACAGAGTCCATTACATTAATGCATACATTGGGAGATTGCATCCCAAGGGCAGATGTATCTTTACACACATTGAACTTGAGACTTAGAGAAGAGAAGTTTTACCCTTCCAGTTGGCTTGGGTATTGTATAAGTTTAAGTAGAATAATTGTAAACCGTTACATTAAGAATAACCTGAACAGACATATAGAACGCATGTTTTGATGTGGTTGTAAGACAATCTTAAAGCATCCTCCTATATGAAAATTCAATAAAAGTATAAAAGGAAAACAAGGAGCAAGTGATGTAGGACATCAAACACAATCAAAAGAAGGACAACGTTTTTACACAGGTGGCCCAAAACTAGTGGGCCAAAGCGTCGGCGATCCATTCGGTGCAAGGATTTACGTCGAAGTTCCACGGCGTCGGCGGAATCTTCAGCTTTGAAGCAATCTGGTTGAGCGCTTCAACTGAAATAAGAAAGGTGCCCGCGCGGTGCCGACCGGCAGTTGTTACAATTCAAAATAAAAGAGGTATACACGTGTAGTTATTATATATGTGGGGGAAGGGGAAGAGAGAGAGAGAGAGAGAGAGAGAGAGAGAGAGAGAGAGAGAGGGGAACCAGCTACGGAAAATGAAAAAATAATAAAATAAAATAATTATATATAATGAATAAATAAAAATCCTTATATCGGTATTATTGCGAATAGTATCTTACTATTTAGTCGAGGTGGAAGATAGTTCTGTATCTGAATATGCTTTAAATTTTTCCGATTGTGAGGCAATTTTCTTACGCGATGCGGGCCGAGAAAGGAAATATTTGCCCATTTAAGACGGAAAAAACTGAGCGATGGTCGCCACCCGCCAGGCCAGAGAAGACGAGCGATGTTAAGAACCCAGAGAGAGAGATAGAGAGCAGCTCCTGGCGATCCCGTGGCGAGGAGGAGAAGAGCGGAGGAGGGTGCTCGTCGTTAAAAGTCACCTACCTCCTGGGGTAAAGTCTGCGAGAGAGAGAGAGAGAGAGAGAGAGAGAGAGAGTAGCTCCAGGCGATTCCGTAACTACAATGATCAAAAAACATTACTAGGAACAAATCACTTTTGACGGATAGTAAAACACATTATGATTGTGCTAGAGATTAGTTTTTCACTTGCAAATTTTTTTCTTTTTTTAAAAAATTTATTATATGTGCTTGAAATCTGTGTGAGGCACTGTTATAATTGAACTACCTTTTTAGGAAAATCCTAACAGAAACTTGACCTATTTAAATGGCTCACATTGTAGACTTAGAGACAATTCATTCAGTTCGATGAAATTTCTCTTTTCAGGATTCTTTTTCATTACTTGTAAGTTATTGTTCCTTGTTTGTTAAGTCAAGGAAACCTTTTTAATCTTCAAATTGGTACCTGAATGAAGATTGGAGAAAAATCGTCCATTATGGATTCAAGGTTCTATTTTTGTTCATCTCCACTTTCAGAGTCGTATCTCATTAACTCAAAGCTCATATCTATTTTCTCCTGCAAATCCTCCTTCATCAGATGATCATTTTATCACTTTCAATCCATCCGGAAGTAAGAGAATTAATCATAACAGCGTAAGCTGGGATCCTATTTTTCTTGACCGTGATTATATCTGAAAAAGTACCCATATGGTTTAATAATATATTATCCTATCTAAAAATGTAATTGAGTCTTACCACTTAGACATAGGGTAGGTAGTCCAGCCTTTACCTCATCAATTTACATGCTCTTTTATACCGCAATCACCTCAGTGTCTAAAGAGACCAACTTTCAGAAAAGAACGTAGCCTTAAAATATTCACTAAATCTTTTATCAAATTTAAGATCGTTCTTTCTTAGACTTGAGATCACTTTGTATTTAATATGTGCATTTTTAATCTAGTTCAATTATCTAATCAATTAATGTAATTTAAATCACTTGGAGCACATAAAAGCTTAATTTGGTAAGTGCACATCCGATAATCGTGACATAGAAATTTTCTCTAGGCCCCCCTTCTCTCCCCTCTATTATACCCCTGCTTAATGAGTCTTCATCTTGGAATTAATGTAGTCGGCCCAGTGTCAAGTTGATAGAAAATCCATTGAGTTCAGCAAGCTTTAATTACAAAACGAAGGAGAAAAACATTAAAAGTAAAAATATTTTTCCTCAAGGCCATGACTGGGATACTACGTTTAGATTGTAGGTCAAAGGATTAGACCACTTTTCTTCAAGGCTAATCTGTAGATTTACATAAGAGTCCATGAAATGTGTTCTAAAATCTATTCTAATGTTTTTCATTCTATTTCATTAAATATGAATTTAGTTAATGTGGTATTTTCAATCATTTAACCCTAATTATCATACAGGAATGACATATTAATGGCTATTCTGCAGCAGCACAATTTTCCTCATCAAGAACATGTGCAGGCTACACAATGGTTCCAAAGTCTATTTGTAACCTATTTTCTAATACCTTCAATTTGGGTTGGAAGAATCAACTAACTTCTCGTGTAGAAATTTACAAGCTGCAGCCTATGATCCTTAGCATTTCAGACTCCTAATAATCTTTGACCAACAACTAAAGCCCAATACCAAACCCAATCCCAACTACAAAACTATTTTAGGTGATCACAAGCCCAAACTGAAATCACTGAACCATCAGCCCATCACAGCTACAGTCAAACTAATTATGGTGGTGTTTAACTAGCTCCAATAGATGATGTTTGAACAGTAATATATGATGGCAAAATACCAAAAATTGATGTTATCACAAAACTAGTCTATTGCAAAATTATAAACACAAGTGGGTCAATGAATGGAAGCAAGTGTCAGGGAAGAGTAAGGTAGCTTCCAAGCCAGACTATAGCTAACCCATTAAACCATTACCCACCTCGTTTTACTCCTCTAGTGCCTATAATTATTCACCCCAGCCTACAAACATAGCCTCATACTCTCCATTTCGAGAATCCTAAAAGTCACAGGCAGCCATAGAAATGGAAAAACTCTTGAAGATCCATTTTAGTTTAGAAGTGGGGAGGGAACATCAAACCAATCAAAAAATGACCATGGTACAAACAAAGAGAACCAAATTCTATCTGAATTTAGAATGAAAAAACCAGCAGAAGGTAATTGTCAATTAGTGGGTGATGTCACCTAGTGTGAGGAAGAAGAGGTAGAATAAGTTTGTAGATGCCTTGATTTTGACAAATACATTGGAAAATTTATTTCTAAATTATTATTGAATGAGTCATTGTATAATTTATTTAATCATCATGATTACTTACATCACGAGCTGAATATCATTGATAAATATTCAAATTATATATATCGATGTTGCTTTGTGCTATCTAATGACTAAGAATAAATCTTAGTTATGCCATTGAAATACATGTCTATGTTTTAACAATACAATGTAATATTCATGAAATATAACTGCAAAATAACTTGTGTTAGTATATGAGACGAAATCGTACATATATTCTTGAAAAGTAAAGTTACCCAAAAGATTCAAATATGACACCTTAGTAATATGAAAATAGAAACATTAGTGTGGAAGATATGTGCAAATCAAAGGCATACAATGATAGACATAGAATTCAAACTCAAGTAAGTTATATAAATAGAGAAATGATGGCCAAAATATTCAAATCAAAGTAAAAGGGAAATCTAAATTGAAGAGTCATTATAATGACAACATTGAAAGTTGTTCAAATATTTTGAGCGAAATTATATGATTAGAGACTAAAGTACAACTCAATCTAAGTTCCTACGTTGCAATTTTGTTAGATTTTTTGCATGATGTAAAAAGGTAGCAAAGAAGTCTTTAGTATGTGACATGTACAGAGACACATCAAAGTTTTACATGGACAAAACAATGAGCTCAATGATATTATCCTAGCTTGACCTTGAAGACAAAGATGTTCATTAATTAGTTATAAATCTTTAGACATTATCAAAGACAACATGTCTACAAGCTAAATGATTTAAACTGAAATATGACAAAGGTTAAAAGCATAGATTTTAGTCTAACCTTTCAACAAATAATGTGGCTTAAAGACAAATCAAACATTATTTTTTGATTGGTTACTAATCCTGAGACAAGATATTGTGGATAACAATCACCAAAGTATAAGGTTTATAAGTATAAAGTAATTAAAGGTCCCTAGAGTGCTA